AATGTCACAAGGTAATTGTTAGACTGTAGTTGTCCTAATTTTGAAAACATTTCTGTCAGTTTTAAAGCCATTTCGCTTCGGAGTGCTGCTCAAATTTACGCTCACACGTGCCTTATGTTTCACAGATTTGTGCTGCTAAACATCGAACAATAAATTCACCGAACCCCTAAAGACGCCAGAAGCGAAGAGAGCCGAATTAAAGAACAACCATGACGTAATCGGATGTCCTGCATCGGTCGAAAGAGGTTGTTGCGCTTGAGGATTTGCCACAATAGTACTGCATGATATGAAACAAGGTATTTCTGGAAAACGAAATGATCCTTTTCATTCGAAGGGGTCCCTGGTGGTACTCGTTGTATCAAGCACCGTCACAAAGGATCGTTTATGGATATAAAGCGACGCGAGCTGGATGAAAGAGGGATCACCCTAGGTATACATTTTTCTTGTTATCCTGAGTTCAGGCAATGGTTAATTTGGTACCCAGGACTAATGTTGTGTGTGGTATGTGAATGTAAGTTCTGGGTACACAACCTCGGTCAAAACCTGGGGCCGGTTGTATGAAAGCCGGATAGCGCTATCCACCGGATAGTGGTTTTTTCAATCGCTTCAAAATCGGCCGTTATTTGCTACAACTTTGAGTAAATCTTAGTATTCCTAAATCGAAGATCCTCTTTAATAATTGTTGCTTCTAAGCTAAAATTTTATCGCTTTTCGAGCATTTTTAGAACGGTTGAAAAAATCACTATCCGGTGGATAGCGCTATCCGGCTTTGATACAACTGGCCCCTGATGATCAACTAGCGCACACTCAGGGACATTTCATGGAGGTTGCTTGTGTGCTATTATTTTCATGTCCTTTAAACACCTAATATACAGATTTCTTGAATATTACCATTGCCTAAAGTCTTCATAGGTTAAGTTCTCTCTCTTGCGGCCAGACTTCATTCAATGTTCATTCTTTTTGTCTGCATATTTGGTATCTACAGTTCATGAAAGAATGGTACACGAGCTTCCTGCGCTAAACAGGAAGAGCAGTGAGTTTAGAAAATGCAATGCCGCAGCGCTGCAAACACTCACTTCAAATGATCTGTCAAAGTTGTTTTTCTCCAGGAAAATGAATTCTGTTTTTCAGTTAGAATGCTTTAATTATATGAATGGCTTGATTGCGCAAAACTGCAAGCGAAATGTAAACTGATTTTAAAGGTGTAAAATTTAAACGCGGAAATATATTGTAGGCGAGCCATTCCTGTACGACAAATTTGAATCAAAGGACTTCAAGTTGTTTAGATATTCACAGTTATCAATTTTTGCAAGCGCATTAATTGTGAATGTATAAAAGAAGTGTTGATATGAGATTCTCCGATAAGGAGACAAGAAATTTCTTTTCGTATCAATCACCGCATGCAGCGCGCTAAGCTTTAAAAATCCTTAATCAAATGATCGTCAGGTTTGTGGAGTATTTTCATGTGTTTTTTTGTTGACGGGCAACTGATTTGAAAAACGAAACTTTGTCCTAATAAACATGGATTTATTTAAAGAAATCTAGCTTAAAAATTACTTAAACTACAAAATACAAATTATTAGAATTACAGTCATGTACAATCAAGAAACTATTTACAAAGCAAAAAAAACCTTATCAGAAACTACAAACACTGATTGATTTTTATTAAAACAATGGCAATGCAAACTGATTTATTAAATTTAATGGCAAAAAATTTCCGAGTCATCAACTTCTGATCAACACAGGCAAAATATATTCCGCAAAAACATTTCAAAGAACATTTGCTCGTATAAAAAACTATGAGAGTTAAATAACCAATCTGTCGTGTACAAAATATTAATATGATTTGCTTGCATACGGTGGCCCATAAGTGCAAAACACAAAACAAGAAAACCAAAACGCATTTTACGATCTTCAGACGCATTAAGCAGTTCTCTGGGCAATTCTCATTTTTGCAAAACACATTTGAAAAAAGCAAAGGCACGTTTGAAGAAATAAAAACGCATTCCAAATCAAAAACACATTTGAGAGTGCAAAACAAATTTGAGAGCGCAAAACACATTTGAGAACGCAAAACACTTTTCAGAGCGCAAAACACATTTCTGAGTCTATTTGGAAAAACACATTCCCATTCGCGAAAAAGTTTTTCAATTAGAAACTATCAAATACAAAAAATGTAATTCAGACGTTCTAAAGTTATTTCTGTCACGATTGTGGGAATGTGCTTGATAATAGCGATTTTTAAGAGAACACCGTATCGAATTCGAGTCATTCAAAGTTGTCGGGTGTTACAGTTACAAAAGAAACAACAAATGCCCACAAAAGAAGTTCTCATTGGAATAGGGATAGTAACCTTGATTAAAGGAGGAAAATTGATTTAATGATGAATTCACTTTTTGTTTGTTGAATTCACCTGGTTTTCAGTTACTTTGATATCGCATGATAATGGGTTGTTAACATTACAACTATAGGTAATAAGTTATAACTAATTGCCATAACAAAAAATAAGTTGTCAGGATGTTTTAGAGTTGTCTGTTTTATTCATATTCTCACTTTCAATATTTCATAACTGTAGTGTTGCAACGTTTTCCCTTTTGCCTTTGCACATATTTTTGGAGAAAATTAAATGCCACTTAACGCACACTATAGTGACTATACTTATAAATTTATCAATTTAGGCAAAATCAAATTGTTTGATGACTATCACAATAACTTGTGATCAGTAACGCCGCCAGATTGACGAGTGGGGGGGGGGGCAAATATTCATATATTCGTCTTCCGTATTAATAATTCTTTTAAAATCAATTGTTCTTACAGTGACCACGAATGCTGTCAACCCTGTTAAAAAATATGGCGGCGCCACTGATTATGATTTGTTAAAATCTAACAGTTTACATTGGATTTTCTTGATATTGGATTATACACCCACTTGGGGACAGGGATTAGGGAATGCGCTTTGCTGTATCTTGATTCTTGACACGCCTACTTTGAAAAGATCCAATTTTGGCCCCTTTTCTTTTCTATTCGAAATGTGCCTGCATGCAAAAAAATCAAATCGGAATTATTTCAATTTGAACTTATTGTAGAGCTACTTGTAATATATTATGGTACAATTCAACTGCATCTCTCCAGGTGTTTGGCTCAGCAATACCAATCATTTGATTGACATAATATAAGTACTCCTGATAAACGAGTGATTCATTAGAATAATCGGTTGAATAAAGTTCATTGTCGTTTTCCTCTAAATCCTCGAAATCGCATGGGCGTTTGCAGTCTGTAGTATCAACACTCTCTGGCAAGAAATACAAAGTGTTGGGTATCCTTGAAACAGTATCGTGTCGGGACTTGCGAATATAGTGACTGTTCCATCCATCTCGGTATATCTCTATATAATCTTACTGGAACAATACCAAATGCACTCAAAATGCGTTTTGTTGCTAGTACCCATACTCCCGGCATCTATCATGTCCTTGAAAAAGTTAATCCACCATGAACTTCACGATCGCCTAAGGTACGCCCACCAGGCTTCGATGCGTTGATTGCTATGCGAAGAACCGAATCGGCGAGCTTTCAAGCCAGCTAATGAATCTGTACCATTTCGTCTAAAGGCTAATTTCCACTCAGGAAAACGAGCAGCGGATCAGATCGGATCGGAACGAAAGATAATCCGCGCGTGCGCCGTTTGTTGAAATTTTTGGCTTATATTGATCCGAAAGCGTCCGAGACCGGATAAAAAAAAGTTCAAATGGTTTTAACTTTTTTTGATCCGATCCGAAATCACTTTATTGATCGAACCAGCTCGGAAAAAATCCGATCTGATCCGATCCACTGCTCGTTTTCCGGAGTGGAAATTAGCCTTAAGAAAGCACTGCTCTGAAGTCATGATTCCGTTTTTGCTTCCTCGATCTGTTCGAAGTATCATCGGGCAACCACCAGTTTCAGCCACAGCGTCCCTAAATAGCTTTTCAATGACTTTAGGATCATTGTTACTCATTTTCAGTTCCAGCCATATCACACGCCTACTAAACCCGTCAATACAACCATGTATAGGTACTATCCATAAGGTTTTAGTTTATCGTATCCATTGGCGTGCCAACAGTTATTCGGCCCGGGATTGGTGTATTTTCGTCTTTTCAGTCTGCGGGCTTGTCTTATCCTGGTTCCTTCTGGATCCATCTCTCGCAATAAAGTTTCAACGGAAGATCGTGGTACGTTTATTCCATACTTTAAATGTAGTTTCCGCCACATGCATTGCTCGGTAACCAAGTAGATTTCCTGCTCCTTCAAGCTCCATGCCTATGTGCTCACGAAGAATGGCTTCATTGATCTCACAATTTTGCCGAGTTAATCCATATGCTTTCAAACGATTCAAGAGAGTCCTTTTTGACATTTTTATGTCGTGATATTTATCGAGAAATTGCAATATTGTGCTGTACTCATACTTTCTAGAGAAATAGTACCTAATTGCTTCTTCTTCATCCATATATTAAGGCTATATAATATAAGAACCTGCTCCACAAGTAAATATTGTATATTAATATTTCCGTATTTTCCCGCTTTTTTCCCTAACCAAAATCACAACCAACAGTTATGCCACCAGAATGTGTTTTTCAGTTACAAGCTGTGTCTTATTACGATTTGTTTTTAACGCGACATGCGCTTGCGATAGTAATGATCTTTCACCTTTTTCGCGATTTGAAATGTGCTTCATCATGCTGACTGTTGTTTTGCACTCTAAAATCAAAAATCTGAAATCTTTTGCGCTCTCAAATGTGTTTTGCACTCTCAAATGTGTTTTGCGTTCCCAAATGTGTTTTGCACTTTCAAATGTGTTTTTGTTTGGAATGTGTTTTTATTTCTTCAAAGGTGCCTTTGCTTTTTTCAAATGCGTTTTGCAAGAAGTGAGAATCGCCCAGAGAACTGCTTAATGCGTCTGAAGATCGTAAAATGCGTTTTGGTTTTCTTGTTTTGTGTTTTGCACTTACAGCTTAACAAAAACATTTGATGCGTTTTACAGGATTGCAGCCATTATGACTTTACATTTAGTAAATCAGTTTGCAGTTGTCAATCTTAGCATCGATTAAATATTTAACAGCTTCAGTTGTTAAATCATTGCGACTTACATTTAGTCCAGTAAGTTTACAGTTGTCACTCCTCAGAGCATCGCTTAAATATTTAACAGCTTCAGTTTTTAAATCATTGCCACTTACATTTAGTTCAGTGAGTTTACAGTTTTCATTTTTCAAAGCATCACTAAAATATTTAGCACCTTCAATTTGTAAATGATTGCCACTTACAGATAGTTCAGTAAGTTTACAGTTGTCATTCTTCAAAGCATCACTTAAATATTTAGAACCTTCAGTTTTTAAATGATTGCCACTTACATATAGTTCAGTAAGTTTACAGTTGTCACTCTTCAAAGCATCACTTAAATATTTAGCAGCTTCAGTTTTTAAACCATTGCCACTTAAATCTAGTTTAGTAAGTTTACAGTTGTCATTCTTCAAAGCATCACTTAAATATTTAGCACCTTCAGTTTTTAAATCATTGCCACTGAAATGTAGTTCAGTAAGTTTACAGTTGTCATTCTTCAAAGCATCACTTAAATATTTAGCACTTTCAGTTTCTAAACCTCTATTGTCACTTACATTTAGTACAGCAAGTTTACAGTTGTCACTCTCCAGGCCATGGTTATCTTTCTTCAAAAACTCAGCCAATTCACGGATAGTAAAGTTCGTCACAGTACAATCAATGATTTGAAGCTTTTTCAAGTTTTTGATGTGGCTTAAAAATTTGAACAAAGCCGTAGATTCTGCTGGTGCAATACTTATGTGGCTCAAAGTAAATGTTTCATCATCATCATCATCATCATCATCCTCAGACGCAAACGACGAAATCATTTTCATGACGCGATCTTCTTGCATTTCCCAAACACTTTTTATCACGAGTATACCTTTGTCACTACTCTTGTCAATATATCGTTTCTTTGGCATCCAGTCTTGAAATCTAGATTAAGATATTTTAAGAGAAAATTTCAGAAGTTCAGATTATATTTCACTGAAGAGAACTGCGTAGTATTAAATGGCCAGTAATTCACAGTTTAACTCACAGCGTGAAAATGACAACAACACAGACCATAGGCGGCCCAAAATTGCTGGTTTTTTAGACTAAATAAATCAATTTTATACATACTAATCCCAGGGACGGCGGAACATAGTATATTTTTGGGGGGGGGCTAATTTCACGAGGCGCCACCATGGTTCGCGCCGAGCGAATTTTTTTTGGAATTTCAATGCTCTAGATCTTCGGAAATGGCCATCTCAGAGTCTTACTTGCCGCTTAATTTCATCGTAGTTCAGGGGCGTGCTGGCCATGGTCGGGACAATGGGAACTCGTTGTGGGCCCCTGGCATAATGGGCCCTTTAGACTATAAATTGAAATTATGTAATGAGACAGTAACGAGATGAAGCGACTTTTGTTTCCCTAGTACTTAAATAAATGGTTGATTTTCATCAATTTCATTTAACAAAGTAACAATACATCATAATTTGATTAATTTATCAAATAATGCACGTCAAGTGCCCAATAGAACACATCATCATACAGTATAATAAAGTGGAGACAGTTTGTCTAGTTTGTTTTTGTTTGGATCGCGCCCTTGGGCCCCCTAAAATGTTACTCATTCGTTGTTCTTCTTGAAGACCCAGCACGCCCCTGTCGTAGTTTTTCATGGGCAAACACAAACTGAAAACGGCACAGCGCGTGTAGTGATATCTTTTACATTTGAAAAATCATCTCTCAAATTCTCAAAATAATTTCCAAACAAAATGGCGGTGCGAAAATAATAACAATATACAACCACGAATATTCTGCTGTTAAAGACAACTATGAAAGATCAATCAATTTACATTCACTTGATCCGTATCACAATATAAAATATCTTATTAGCATTTGATACGCCAGCGAGCATTAATTTGACGACTTCGTGGTAACGTAGTTTGTATATTTAATCTCCCATTCTGGCATTCTTCATGAAATTTTTGTGGGGGTTAAGCCCCCCCCACCTCTACTTCTGGGGGGGCTATAGCCCCCTAGCCCCCCCTGTTCCGCCGCCCCTGTTAGTCTAATCCTTTTATAGCTTGCGGCAAGGCTATACGATGATCAGTCCAGTACGTTCGCGTAGTCTCATCAGTTTAATCGATATTATCGATATTATGTAAACAAATCAATGACCGTTAACGAAAGCACGTTAAATGTCGGACTCGTTGTCTAATTGTTAAATAGAAACACGCGTGGGAGTTTGGGAGAACGAGAAATAATCAGTTGGAAAACGAGCCCGTAGGGCGAGTTTTTCCACGTTATTTCGAGTTCTCCCAAACTCCCACAAGTGTTTCTATTTAACAATTAGACAAACAGTCCGAGTTGTCTATGAGCGAATAGTCAACGAAGGCGAAGCCTGAGTTGACTATTCGCTCATAGACAACAAAGGCGAGTTATCTAATTGTTTTAGTATACATCCTGTACCTAGATATATTAACCTCGAAAAAATTTATCGATACACTGCAATTTATTACACCGAAAAATAATTCAATTTTATACGATCGCGCGAGCGAATTTTTCCCAAACGTTCACCATCACGAATAGACAATGGTTGAGTAGCCAATCAGAATGTAGGATTTGTAATAGACAATAGTGGGTGTATACTAAAACTGTATAGAAACACAGGAAAAAGTATACACCGGACTATTAGCGAGGTTCAGATTTGACTACTGTAATGTATATATATATATAGACACGGACAGTAATAGCTAAATATAGACTTGATATTGATTAGGGGATTGATTGACATTAATTGAGGGAGATCTAGTTATGTAAGGGATATATAGAAAGATACATAGAAAAAGCGTAAGAAACAAGCAATATTACATTGGCGACGAAGACTAAAACAAGTGATTAAAACATATTATAATGGCGACATATCTCACGCCTATGCCACCGTTTGACCCTGATGCTGACGCGGGAGGAAATATAGCGGCTAAATGGCGTACTTGGTTGGCAGATTTCAAAACATTTCTAACGGCGAGCAACATTACAAACAAGACACGCCAACGAGCATTACTTTTATACCAAGCAGGACCGCGAGTACGGGAAATCTTTCGACACTTTCCAGACCCTGGTAACGACGACGACTTCGATAAAGCGACGGAACTTCTCACCGAATACTTCGAGCCTCAAAAAAATCGATTATACGAAGTCTACAAATTTCGACAAGCAAAACAGAGCGACACGGAAACGATAGATCAATACCACACGCGTCTACGAACACTGTCAAAAAACTGTGAGTTTTCAGATGTAGAGTTCGAAATTATGGTACAAATTGTTATTGGAGGAAAGTCAAGTCGCGTGCGTAAACAAGCGTTGCGAGACCCCAAGTATGTTTTAAAAGATCTTTTGCTCGCAGCCAGGCGGGAAGAAATAAGCAAGACGCATGCAGCTGACATCGAAGGACATTTAGACAGCTGCAATATTCAAGCAGTTAAAACGCCAACCGCGAAAGAAACAAAACACAAGACATCCAATAAGACATGTTTTTACTGTGGTGGCAGCTACCCTCACACCAACAAACCGTGCCCTGCCAAAAACAAGACATGTGCCAATTGTGGTAAACTAAACCATTTTGCTAGCCAGTGCCGCAGTAGCAACACGAGAGAAAATAGACAAACTGGTAAACCACGCGAAGACCTACGACCAGTTAACACAGACCTCCAGGACAACACTAGCAGCGACAGTAGTGGTCCAGAATATTGTTACGCGGTCAACAACAAACAAAAACACCCGCAAGCGTCAATTGCTCTCAATGGACAAAGAGTAAAAATGACCATTGATACGGGGTCAAGCATAAATGTAATCGATAAACACACGTTCCAACAACTGCGAGATATCCGACTTCAGCCAACATCCGTGAAAGCATATCCCTTCAATTCCACAACACCTGTGAAGATGGAAGGAAAATTCCGCGTTTTAGCAGAGTCGAAACACAAATTCACGGTAGCTACCATATTTGTTACTTCTGACGACGGCGGTTGTTTACTTAGTTCTGAAACTGCACAAGAACTTGGACTCGTAAGTCTCCATTTAAATCAGATAAACAAGGAAACAGAACGTTCAAAAATCACACCAACAACGAGCGATAAAAACCTCGCACGCATCCTAGATAAACATGGCCCTGTGTTCTGTGGACTTGGGAAACTAAAGAACAAACAAATCGAATTAGTTATCGATGAAACCGTTTCACCAGTTGCACAACCGCAGCGCCGAGCACCGTTCCATTTACGCGGAAAAATTGAAGATGAAATACGCAGATTAGAACAGGATGACATCATTGAGAGAATACCCGAAGGAATTTCAACGGAGTGGGTTTCCCCAGTCGTCGTCGTCCCAAAGCGTGACGATAAGATTCGATTGTGCGTAGATATGCGAGTAGCAAATACAGCTATTCAGAGAACTAGACATCCCATACCCACTCTAGAAGCTGTCTCTATTGAGCTTAACGGAGCTCGGTTTTTCTCAAAACTTGACCTAACTCAAGCCTACCATCAACTGGAGCTGAACCCAGCATCTCGGGGAATAACAACTTTCTCCACTCATCTCGGTTTATATCGCTATAAAAGATTAAACTACGGCACAAATGCTGCAGCGGAACTCTTCCAACACACCCTACAGGAGACATTACAAGGAATTCAAGGAGCTAAAAACATCGCAGATGACATCATCGTGTTTGGAAATACTCGACAGGAACATGACCAAGCATTAGAAGAAGTACTTACACGTCTGCAAGAGAGTAACCTGACTCTCAATCTACAAAAGTGCAAATTCCTCAAAAAGAATCTTGAATTCTTTGGACTGGTATTCACAGAAAAAGGTGTTAGCCCAGACCCCAAGAAAGTGGACGCTTTCGCCAATACAAAACCACCAACAACAGTCGGTGAAGTGAGAAGTCTATTAGGAATGGCTAACTACAGTGCTAAGTTCATCAAAAACTACGCGACCATTACAGAGCCACTCAGAAAATTGACCCAAAAAAACGCTCGTTTTACATGGACGACAATACACCAGAAAGCATATGAAGACCTAAAGAGTGCTCTGACTAACAGTCCAGTTATGAGCCATTTCGATACATCCAAAGAAACCTCAGTCCTGGTGGATGCAAGTCCCGTTGGTTTATCTGCCATATTGACGCAAAAGGATCCAAAAACAAACGAAGACAACACTATCGCTTATGCCAGCCGAGCATTATCCCCAGTAGAACAACGGTACTCACAAACCGAGAGGGAAGCTCTCGCGATCGTGTGGGGCATTGAACATTTTCACCTTTACCTGTTCGGTGCACCTTTCAACCTAATTACTGATCACAAGCCATTACAGTTGATCTACAACAATCCTCGGTCCAAACCTCCAGCTAGAATAGAACGTTGGTTTCTAAGACTTCAGCAATACCATTTCAATGTTATCTACAAACCAGGCAGTGTTAACCCAGCAGATTTCCTGTCACGACATCCGCAATCGAAGATACCAAAACACAACCTTGCTGAAGAATACATAAACTTCATCTCGACTAATGCCGCGCAAACCACAATTCCAATACAAGTTATCAAGGAACATACGGAAAAGGATCCCAGTCTCAATGCAGTAAGAGAAGCAGTTAAGTCTGGTAACTGGGGCAGCAGTCATGTAAAGCCATTCATAAACATCAAAGATGAAATAACAGTGGACCATACAAATGGTGTAATCCTCCGAGGAACACGTATTATAATACCATCAACTCTACAAGCGAAGATAGTAAAACTTGCCCACAGCGGTCATCAAGGACTTGTCAAAACAAAAGCCTTGTTACGTCAGTATGCCTGGTTCCCTAACATTGATAAAGCTGTAAAAGAAGAGATCGATACCTGCTTTCCGTGCCAAATTAATGGTCCAACCGATCCACCCCAGCCTTTACTAACTCCAGAAACGCCGGACGGTCCTTGGCAAACTGTACATGCAGATTTCTACGGCCCGCTTCCCACCGGACAGTATATCATAGTGTTAATTGATAAATATTCAAGATACCCGGAGGCTGAAATCATCACAAGTACATCTGCTAAAGCACTTATACCAAAAACCGATGCTATCTTCGCGCGACATGGAATTCCACTGAAAATAAAGACGGATAACGGTCCTCCTTTCAATAGTAAAGAATTCAAAGATTATTTAACAAAGATTGGCGTAGAACATGAGACATCAACACCTGAATGGCCACAAGGTAACTCAGAAGCAGAAGCTTTTATGAAACCTTTGGCAAAAGCAATCAAGACCGCTCGTTCAGAACATCGTAACTGGGTCCAAGAACTTTCGAGGTTCCTGTTAAGCTATCGCACCACACCCCATTGTTCTACCAACATACCGCCCGCTCAGCTTCTCTTTAATCGGCCTGTCAGAGGAGTCCTACCCATGTTGAACCCAAAAGCTAAAGTACTAAACAGACATAAAGAAGCCAAATCGAATGACTCCAATGCCAAAGACAAAGGGAGAGAATACGCAAACAAACGAAGGAGAGTGGCGCCGTCAGAGATACAAGTGGGAGACACAGTCATTCTTAGACAGAAAAAGAAAAACAAATTTACAACCAAGTTCGAACCAACTCCTTACACGGTGCTTGAACGTAAAGGAGTGACAATAGTAGCTGAAAACCAAAGACATAAGGTGACAAGAAATGTATCGTTCTTTAAGAAGATACCAGACGCCGCAAAGGAATCCGAAGATGAAGATGATTGGAACGCACCGACAGGAAATGCACTCATCGAACGAGCAGCGGACGAACCAACGCCAGAACCAGTGGTGAGAAGGTCAACAAGGCAGCGTAGACAGAGAGAACTTTTTGGAAATGCAATAAACCCAAACTTGATAATTCATTAAACAAAGGGAGAGATGTAATGTATATATATATATAGACACGGACAGTAATAGCTAAATATAGACTTGATATTGATTAGGGGATTGATTGACATTAATTGAGGGAGATCTAGTTATGTAAGGGATATATAGAAAGATACATAGAAAAAGCGTAAGAAACAAGCAATATTACAACTACCACTACGACTACCACAACCTTTGAGGGAATATAAACCAATCAAATGCGAAGATCTATCAGACTAACCAATCACGAGCTTAATAGATTAGCGAGAGGTAGCGGTAGTGGTACAGGTAGTGGAAGCCAAATCTGAACCTTGCTATTGTCTATTACAAATCCTACATTCTGATTGGCTACTCAACCGTTGTCTATTCGTGATGGTGAGCGTTTATGAAAAATTCGCTCGCGCGATCGTATAAAATTGAATTAATTAAATTATTTTTCGGTGTAATTGCGGTGTATCGATTATTTTCTCCAAATTAATATATCTAGGTACAGGGTGTATACTAAAACAATTAGACAACTCGCCTTCGTTGACTATTCGCTCATAGACAACTCGGACTCGTTGTCTAATTGTTAAATAGATGACGCTTCTCGACCAATGAGCACGTGCGTACTATATTATTAGTTTGTTTATTTATACAATGCGCAAGCAAGCCTTGAAGTGGCTTCCAAAACTTTGTTTTTTACTCGTCAAATAAGAATGATACAGTAATATAAACAAAAATCAAAGATGAATAAATATAATATTCACATGTACCAAATATTGCCCTTCTTCGTCCATTCTCCGTCGATATTTTTCGTGTCAAAAATAAAAATGCAAGCTTGTTTTTGTTCAAAAATATGATAGTTGCTACGGCAACGGTCTAATCCTGGGGATTCCAGACCGGCAAAGAACCAATCAGCGCACGCCATTTTAGTCACGAGACCGCGTGCCATATAATAAATATCACAGTAATTAGTACAGACAGAATACAGACAGTAGAAGCTGACCGCGCGCGTAAACAATGCAGTCGAAGACTGAGTATAAACCACTGAGCTATATAATAATTCCTGGAGGACCGGCTCGTCATTTCTCGGTAACTTCGCCGCCATCTTTTTGTCCGCAAAAACATGGCGGACTTCGCCCTTCTGCGCAACCGCAGAAGCTCTGCTGACGCCACATGGTTCCTTTTGGCCATGGTAGTTACCACTGACCGGGCTCAATAATGAGCCCGCTACAAGGGTGTTCTCCCCCCTGGATTTAGTAAACAACAGGTTCTCCCCCCTGGCCTTTATAAAAAAAATTTCCCGTGAAAACTTGTTTTGTTTTTTTGAAATATAAAGTCATGAAAACATCATTAATTGCATTTTTTTGAAATATGAAGCGTTTTTTTAAGATGAATACAAGTCGTAGACGCTGTTATTGCCAACGCAAGAACAAATATATACTAAAACGTCAAAAAATTGTGGACAAAATTGAAGATTTTCGTACAGGCGTTTTTGTTCGTGACAGGTGTTTTTCATTATATTTTCATTATTTCTACATTCCTATAACAAATACTTGAACTTTTTGGCACTATTGTCGGACATTTTGGGGACAATTGGATATTTATGGACATCAATTAGACTTTTTTGAACCCTGCATGAACAGCAGAATTACTGAAAGTATGCAATTAATAATGTTTTCTTGAATGGTCTTGAATGTCTTCAGAACAATATATCTAGGTATAATCCAAAGAAACAGAGGCCAAAGCTCAGGGGCAAGATGCTTGGCAGCTGACTAAGTGCAAGAATATAGTTTCAACCATGAGTCATATTTGCATAATACACTTTTCAGTAAGGTCATCAGCTTAATTGTACCTCAATAGGCTATAAAATTTTCATTATTATCTAATTGCACCCCTGGTCTTATTAATGAATAATATTCATCCCTCCATAGACTCAATTACTCCTGATTAGCCTATTGAATTTAGCCCTCTTGAGTTTGATACCATAAACAGAAAATTATAAAAGTGGCTGCAGATTGAAGATACACTGCTCACACAATGCATGTTTATATTTATTTCTTTTATAAATATAACAATGGTTATAAAAATACCAGCCAACAACAAAATCAGATAACATGGTAATTAAGGATAACAATGCAGATTCATAACAATGTGTATAATGTGCTTAATACATCTCAGTTCAATGTTCCAACAAATTGCATGACAATTAATAAGCCATCTCTAGCTTGCTTTATTTCATAGCATCTTCATCCTGAAAAATATAAATGGAGATCTGATCAAGTTTTATTCACAAGGTGCAAGAAGTTAAAAATCAATTAATTATAAGCCATGATAATTGATTTGAATTTGACAAGGCAAACAAGATAATATATTAACTAGGTTTTAACAGTCACCATCATCAGAGGTTCAGTTGAAATTTACACTGTTTGCAGCAAAAATCTTATTACTTTGTATCAGCACCCACTCCACACTTTTGTCAGTCAGATCATGTTAATTATTGCTTAAATCTAATAGACTCACTGGGGGGAAGGTTTACCTATTTCCATTATTGTTTGCTATCATGAAAACAAAATAGACCAAACTCAAAGATTGACATTGCCAGGAATTTAATTCCTTCCCCACACAAGTCAAGAAAATGATAAAGTTTGAGTATAACATTGCACATGTACCAAAGGTCTAAAATAGTATATTTGCTGTTTGTACCATAAGTTTTGATGGATTTATATGGCTCAGAACCTTTGGTAATCAGTTTATATTCGAGTCCAAAGGCAAAAAACTGAAATTGTTATAAAAACCGGCTTACCTGGATGCCATAAAATAACAGCCGAATAACAAAAATCATTCCCCCGATTATTGAATTAAGCCATTCAAAACGTCAGACATATAGAGCACAAAGCTACGTCTCCTTTCCATTTGTTGAACAGGGAAAAAGAGGATTTATATGAAAAACAAAAAATATATACCGAAAGCCGAAAATAGTTTCATAAAAACCAGGAGGGAGATGGACACAGTTTTTCACCTTGTATCGCGGTATGTCAGTGGTAACTACCATGAGCAAAAGGAACCATGTGGCGTCAGCAAAGCTCAAAATCCGCCATGTTTTTGCGGACACTTTTTGGTGGCGAGCCGGTCCTCCAGGAATTATTATATAGCTCAGTGGTATAAACAGATTTCTGGGCTGCTATGGTGGCTGTGGGCTAATCAGAATTATTTGTATGCAAGAGGCAGAAGTTTTATCAATCTTGGAAAATCTCCAAGGAAAATGTTTTCTTAAGGTAAATTGATGCCAACTAGCAACATGCATCACACAGAAATAATTTATCAGCCTATTGCTATATAATGGATATATGCCTTAAATAGTAAAAAATTTATACCTTTTACTTATACGTTCAATCACTTCATTGTCTTTATGCTCTGCTGACCTGATAAAAAAGTTATATTTTTAACTGATTTAGTACAAACACAAAGAGATATATCCATATTTCTTTCCTTTTTTATCTGTGCATGGGAAAAGTAATACCATGTGTATTGGTTATATGCAGAGTTTTTGCTCCATCAACCAGGGGCTTCATCAGTGCAATACATTATGATGAATAGATAATATAAAAAGATTCCCTCACATACAAATGGCTATGAAAATGAGTTGTGAGTTGTTACTATACAATGAAACTGGCTACTGTATTACTTTTTTAAACTAATTTGAAGAAAAATGAGGCATACCTTAACTCCCTCATCCTATCTCCAAGTAACCCAGATACAAACTGGATCACCAAATGCCACCTGGGTTCATCAATGTGTTTAGATAAAAATGATTCAACATTTCTAATATCATCAACTACATATAGTGCAGTCAGAAACTCTTGAATTGTAAGATGAAGGAAAGAAAAGATGTACTGATTTTCATCTTCTAACTGATTAAATACACCGCAATCTGCTAAGTCATCTATAAATTCATCAGTGCCATCAAACTGAAAAACTAGCTGGTTGTCTTCCATGCCTTGCTTTGCAATTTCTTTCAGTTTGTCTAAGTTGTTTTGAAGCTGCTCTGGAAGTTTTGCAGTCAGATAATCCTTTGGGACTGGTTTATTCACATATTTTGAATTGTGTTTGAACAACAAAATCCTTATAGCTCTTTTGTACATTTCAGTCATTGTTTTAGGAATCTTGCTGTAGCTTTTATCCTTCTCATGTTGACCAAAATCAAGGCTTTCATATAATGTCAAGCACACTATATAGGAGTTGACTGGTATGTAACAGAAGCTTAAAAGTTCTGGCGAACTCTTGATTACTTGCCACATCTCTGAACTTCTAATGTCATCATGGCAAAACATTTTAACATACTTTTCTATCTGTTCCTCATTAAAACCCAGTATCTCTATTTCCCGATCAAACTTTAGATACTGATAAATATCTTCTGCTGTAGGTCGAGATGTGATTAGTACAGTAGCTCCAGGCAATAGTTTGCCTTCCACCAGCTGTTTAAGGATACGAAAGATGTGACACACTTTGTCTGGGCTGTTTATGATCTTTTCATCAGTTAAACACCTTTTATCAACTTTAAGTTCATCTAAGCCATCAAAAACAAGAATCGCATTACTTGGGTTCCTGTAAATATATTCGTAGATGGTCATGTTGCAATAAGCTGGCAAAACTGAACCATGAACTTGACTTAATATTTCTTTAAGACTTCTTTCTCCCTTGTTAAAATCACGTAATTGGATCAATAGTACAATTCTTCCATGCCAGAATCTTTCTGTGTGTTTTTGATACTCCTGAAATATTTTTCTTGTCAGTAGAGTTTTCCCAATTCCAGGTCTGCCCACTATCAGAACAGTTCTAGGTTGTTTCTTACCAGAAGCTGCTTGAAATAATTCTGCTGTACTCTCAAGAACTTTTGCATTAGGGAGTTTTTCTAAACGAGCTTTATAAATCTCATGTCTATCTTTATATATTTTCCTAGAAGTTTCCCTTCCACCTCGAATCATAACATTGATATAGATCTCCTCCAGTTTTCGATCTGACAAACGTTTTCCTCCTAAGATTGCAGTCAGGTCAAATAAATTTTTAGATTGGATTGATGGAATTATTTTGTTTATTTCTAGGATTGTTTTGGTTCGTTTTCGTAAAAGGTACACGCTAATGAACTCCTGATCAGTATGGAAAGTTGATCTCTTCAATGCTGACCACAACAAATAAACAATCTCAACGAGTGTCACTGCATCGAAGAGAAAATTTATCGTGATAAAGCCGACAACAACTTGTTGTTTCTTCCCAGCCATTGAATAAGTGCAGTCCAGAAATGAAGAATTCGTAGTTGGTCCTGCGACGTTCTCATGGGAAGTACTAGTTGTTGTTCTCATGTTGGGCAAAGGACATTCAAAATGGGTCGGAAAATTGGATGAGGTTAAGAGAAATGCTGAGAATATTGTCAGTGGTATTATACGACAAACGATCAAATGGATTATGTAAGCCATAAATACAAAATTACGATTACTACTTCGATAGACTTCCGGTGCAGCTGGCGATTCAAACTGTAGTGGCTGGCTTTCTTCTACGCCCTCGTTCGTCGTTGTGTAACTTGTGTTTGGATTATTTGCGAAGATGTCGACTCTATGTTTCACCAGGTGACCATACATAACACTAAACACAACGACAAGTCCAAAACTTATCACAATCTGGACATTGAGGGATAACGAAGGGAGGAATTCTTGGGCATATTGAAGACGACATTGTGTTTCAATGTACTTCCCCTTCAATAAAGAGCTCGTGAAGTGACATTCCAGACTTGATTTCGACTCGTAATCACTCGCGATTCCAATTAGAACAACACCAATTGCTACAAACAAAGCAAGAACTACTGAACTGTAGGTATTGTAACAATTACGAGGAATCAGTTTTAAGCAAACCTCCATGTCTGTAATTACCTAATTTTGCCAGAAGATTAGATTTGATCTCATCATATGACCACCACCCTGCTGTTATTTAATTATTTTTGCACCAACACCCTTTAATTACACCCTTCAGGGGCCGGTTGTATAAAAACGTCGTTAACTTTTACTGTGATTAGCGCTAATCACTGTAGTTAAATCCTTAACTATGATTTGTTAACTACACGACTTAACTGCGTTGCACAAAACGTAGTTAGTCGGATGATTAACTAATCAAGTAGTTAACTTGCGTGGAGCTTGCGTGGGGTTGTTAAACAGAGAAAATGCATGAAGTATCTAGAAATTATTGACCGCTATTATTGATTCTGAACAAGACTGTGGAATCGAGAAAATCTCTTATCTTAAGCAAGAACCTCAAACGTCCTGATGCTTTCTTGAAACTTTTTTCAAACCGAGAATTTAAACTTAGTGATCCATCCACTTGCACGCTAAGATATATAATCAGATGTACTCGTTATTTTAGTCGGCGTAGGGGCATGGTTCGGAGACCTCAAGTGGCTCCGTTTGCATACTTCTTCGTTTGGCAGTTCCAGATAGAAGGGATTCCGTTTAACCGTTTACCCTTCTTTAAATTGGTTATCAATTCGTTTTCTTTAAACCAGCCAATAATCGATTCCATGTCTTTATCTAAAGTTTATCCAGTAGCTTTGCGTCGCTGATTGTGTCAAAAGCCTTACTCAAGTCAATTAAAACGGCACCAACTAGTTTTCCCGAATCAACTTCTCTACGTATATATATCGTCCAATAATAAAGTTGTTGCAAGCTCAGTCGACAGGCCACGACGGAAGCCAAACTGAAACTCAGAAAAAAGAAAATTTTTGTCCAGAAATGACATCAGTTGGCGGTGGATTATATTTTCAATGATTTTAGACAGGACCGGTAGAATCGATATTGTTCGATAGTTATCTAGGTTTCAGTGAGTTCCAGACTTATATATATAATCTTAGCATTTTTCCAATCAGCTTGGAAAATATTTGTCGCTAATGAAAGGTTAATCAAGTGCGTCAAGGGAGCAGCTCGGCCGAGTCTTTCAATAACCCTGGAGGTAGATCATCGAGACCGGTTGCTTAATTTTAGATTTCGTTCGGCTTTCGAGACAGCTTGGAATTTGAATTTGAGGTCAGTTCTATCATAGACAATCCAAAAGACAAAGATGTCTTTTGGATTGTCTATGTATGGTTCTATCAGGCATACTTACGGCCGGGTGTTCTCCATACAAAAGCGCACAAAGGAAAAGCCTTTTCACAGTTCCTGCAAAAAACTCACCAAAAGTATTTGCGACTGTCGAGGGTATAGAAGATTTACCTACCTTCACCGACGATGTCAAAGGATTGTGAATTGTGCCTCTTACAGGGATAAATAGATTTCAGCACTTTCCAAAATTTATTAGGATTTTCAAAATTTTGGCGTAGCAAGTTTTTATAATAAGACGATTTAGCTATCTTAGCGAAGCTTTGAGAGACTTTCGTGTAATTCCACGTATATATGGATAATTAGTTATACTGTCTACACATTAATTGTCATTGTCACTGTCACTGATATTCGCTAGTGAAATTTTAGAAGCATCGTTTTACTTAACGGTGCATGTATTCAAAAAGCTCACTCACTGATTCACTCATTGAGTGTGCAAGGAAAATTAGGAAATATTGTTATTACTGATCAATGAGAAAGTCCTTTCTTAATCAATGAAAAGATTTAAGGCAAAACACTGAAAATAAAGCTCCTGTCCCGGTAGAAATACTGTCATGGAATCTTTACGATGTAATGGACGACTTGCGCTCAATGCCTGGAGTGTGAGCTTTAAGACTTGAAGGAAGCCGAAATATCGGTGACCAGAGCATTTAAATTCCGGCTTAAAGTACTGTTGCGAACAATCAGACGAAGATGAACAATCCATGTTGTCAACGGTCGAACTTGTATTATTTTACGTTTACGCTGTTTATGCCACAATTCTCCAGCAAATTTAAATTAATATCAAGAATATCATACTTATAATAGTTTTTTTGTAAATAGGCAACATTTAATTTATATATAATAACATGGGTACATCGGTTCTGTTCATAAAAATAAGCAGTTTCAAAATTGCTCAAATTTCGCATGTTTCGTATATATCTCTCTCATATCCATCTAAAAGTATAGCGAACAAAAAACGTGTCAAATACTCTGATATTTTAACCTTTAGGAAATAACGTATTTTAAATGTAAACAAAGCATTTGTTTACATTACGGACTGTACCCCACCTTTGAATAAAAGTTCACAACACTTATATTGGGCCACCTACGTTTTGATGAGTGAAACACAAATCACAGCATGAGCACGCATAATAAACGCAGGCACAGATGAAACGCAGGCCACGAGAGTATTTTGCAAGTGCAAAACAATTTAAATGGCGCAACTAGTACCACGCCCGTATTTGCGCACGTGACCAATTAAACGACAAACGCCTAACGCGAAAACAAGTTCGTGAGTGAAAAACGTTATTCGTAAGCACGCAACCAGAACGATTACACGAATTTTGAAGCGAAGAAATTCTAGTCGACGGCAAAACTAAAAGGACATACTAAAAGATAAGTAAATCAGATAAATTATTGCTTTTTTGTTTGAAAATGTTTGCTAATGATAATTCTGTTTTAGATTCTGCACCAGTCGTTTCAAACAGTCCACACACACGAGGTCGGAATGCTGCTTCAGGACCGCAGGACGAAAATTATGTTCAAAATCCGGAGGTAATTAAGAATTGAAAAATGAATTAAATATAAAAACTTTTTCATCGTAGAATAGCTTCAGTCATACGCCGAATGACGGAGATTTTACTGCGATATTTGATGTGATTTTCTACTTTCGATGACCTATACACCTATATATCTGAGCACTCGTAACTACCCCCTCCTTTGTATTGATCGAACGATGGAAATTTCAGTGTTGTAAAGATACCAAATCTGTTATCGGTTACTCAGAAACGAGACGAAACGTCGATCAAATTAATGTGCTGAATTGATGTTTTCACGTTTAAAACGTTTCAAATTTTCCCCAACCCCAATTTTTTAAGCCTGTTGTAACAAGAAGCATTTCTTGCTAGGCCTTTCCCGATTGCGCTCGGTAACTTTTAAGCAACTTTTTGAAATTTAAATGACTGTTTTGGTTTCCAGCTACTTTTGCTTTTTTTGAGTAACAGGAAGTAACTATACTGCTATAAAATCTCGACTGTTAAATTATTTATTCACAAGTGCAATCGGGAAAGGCCTATTTCTTGCTATAGTTTTAGAGTACTTTCATACTTCCCAGTTTGCCCCGCTAAAAAGAGTTTTCACATGCGGGCCTTCCTCCTTAAGGTGGTGCATGGACAATTACAAAAACAATTGATGAAAACAGTCTTTGCCTTACAATATTTAAAACAATTTTCTAGGTTTGTTGCAATTATCGTGGCTGGACCAAGAGAGTTTTGAACGATACTAAGTTATTGTGGAATATATCGGTAATATTCTTTAAGACCGTCAACACCTTTATACTGCGTTCACATTGACTTGCTTTGTCTTGCTTTGTCTTTGTTTCGCAATTCAATTATTCGATTCCATGATCATGACTTGTGCTGCGGCCCTGCATGCCTTAATTTATTTTGTTTTTTCCTCCTTATACAGGTCAATGTTGATATTCCTTCTTACGAAGAATATGAGACGATGTGTTTGTTCCATAACCATTGGTAAGATAAATTAATTATGATGACTCCCCTCTAAGCTGTAAGAAAATAACTGATCTCTAATATTGCTCCTCTAGGAGTACAACATATGAAGACCTGAAACTACTTCGTCGTAACAGCAGACGCGTAGAAAATCACGCTAAGCAAGGTTGGAAAGGTTAATTATAAGAACAGGAATGTTACGTTAAGTTACAAACTCATAGCGCAGGTCTTCTCAGCCACCGGCCCTTATCTCCAGGCTCCAGCTAATATGGCGAGCAGGGTCACTGTAACAATTCAAAACATCTGGCTGGAGAAACGCATTAAATAAGGATTTTTTTAAAGTTTTTCGCCTCGTTTAGGATTCTTGACGTTTGGGGCTCATTGGAATAGAAGACGTAATACTTGCGAGATTGCAGATTGTTTCTTCGGGGAAGGACGTAGATATGTACCTTAATTGACCGAACTAGACTATCAGTACGTTTAAATTTAATATTTAAGTTTTATCTATTTTTTTATACAACCAGATTCAGCTGTAAATTTTACGTACAATAAAATAAGGACAAGATATTTTATATTTGATAGGAGCGTGGAATTTTCAGTCATTTTGTCCGATATTTTGCCTTTTGATATTTTCAATATTAATTTTTTGTCAGCCAACGGACGTGTACTATTTTCAGGCATCCATGCGATACGAAATATAGTCTATATCTGACCAAAATTAGTATTAAGAACGCTAGATCTTGCACGACTTTTTTGGTTTGAGGTGATTGCAGAACAGAGGGGCCGCTATAAATTTAGTCCCCAACATCTTAGGGCCTCTTTAAGCTGTTACCATATTCCTTTTGCAATTCCAGCTCCTCAATCAAAAATTTAATAGTTTGTCCCTGAAGTATACGTTATTTAGTATAATAACATGCAATATCGTTCTCCGAGCTCGAGATTTCCTCTGGCCAGGAAACAGAGGCCTGGAAACAAAGGCTCTAACATAATCAAAACCGGTAGCCAGATCAAATCCTGGCTTCAGGTTTGTAACTGTTTCTATCGTATTTCAAAACTCCAACGGCCTGAACGACCAATCAGAATCATTTTTCAGAGGAAATCGCGGCTCGGGTAACGAGATTGAGTAACATGTTATCTTGATATTAAGAAAACATTCATTTTTGCTACATTACATTAAAATTCATTAGAATTATATTTTTTCTTTGAAACAGCTTCTTACTTTTTTTCTCGTCCCAATACTAAGTATAGTCAGTTCGAGACTCGATATTAGTTAATTGGTCACTTGTTGTATGCCAGAAAGAGCTTTCTTTTTTTCTTGTTCTGTGGATGGATTTGAAACAGCCTCTTCAATCCTCATCCATCCTCATCCTTCGATCCTCAGGTGGATCCTATGCTCAGTCCGCCTGAAAAAATTACACATACTTACTAGTAATATAGTATAATAACTTATAACAATAGTCTGTGATTTGTTAAGATAATCAACAATTAGTATAGGGAATTATATGATCAGTAATCAGCATAGCCTAAAGGGGTTTAGATAATCAGTAATCAGCATAGCCTATAGGGAATTATATAGATTCACTGCCGCTACCAAATGTAGCAAAAATTTGTAGGCCCCGAGGCAGATACTTGCTCCCTTGCTCGAGCAGGGCTTACGGAAGCCCTGAATTTATACTAAATAAATTTCTCATCAAAATATCGAAGTAATAGACCTTTTCATAATGACGTCATGCAAACACGGAAAATCTCATATTACACGAAGTTTGATTGGCTCGATAGTTTGTGGAGCCAATCAAATTTCGTGTAGCATCAGCGTTTGACATAATTATAAGAAAGGTCTTATTGAACTCCTGACCTATAGTCGGAGTATCCAAATATTAAATACACGTGATTCACGTAAATTCGATTGTGTCATTTCACTCATTTGCCGATATGCTATATGAATATCTAAGACGAACGTGATAATATGAGAATATCTAAGACGAACGTGATAATAAAAGCCACCAAAGTGAGACAAATGTTTAAATATTATTGAATGAAGCTGAGCTCCTTTTTATTAGACCGAGGTCGGCGTTACCTGTTGAAGCGAACTGAAACCTTTTTCAAAAAGGTTTTCACACATTCGTCACGGCATAATGAACTATTCCTTGGTGATGTTGTGATATTAGCGACTAAGCGATGCCATTGCCAATTACTAAAGGCTTCGCATATAGAAAGACTATCACATATAGAAATATCATTGCTGATTTAGGCCTACCAGAAGCAAAATCACGGCATGTAGATCGAGGCATTCGGATTCACGGCCAAAAAAACATTTAGGGGCAAAGTTTAAAAACAATATGATCACCTTTCTTGACTGTGTTGTTCCTCATGCGTCGAATCAAATTATTTACAACTTCGACTTCTTTGTTTATCATATTGACAGAGTTCCACGAGCACGAATTTTCAACCTTTTTTAACGCCATTTGTAACCTGCTCAAAGCATCATTTAATCGATCTAGATCAAGGGAATAATCCACTTCGGTTTCTTCCTGTAAATTCGTCATTTCGTCTAACAGTTGAGTGGCTTTTTTTATGGTTGGTAAAAAATGTCTTCTGTATAAATCCCTAAAGCGAGCGAACGATTTCTCTTTCTTCCAGTGGGGGCTCCCTCTAGAGCAATGGGCTTCGAAAGTATTTCTCTGCAAAATGCGTTGTTTCCACGTTTCCTCTTTATCTGGTTCATGTGACAAAGATGGTTCTGCAGATGGCGTGGTTACAGTGACGTTTAGACTACGATTAACAAACTGTATGCGCCCACAAATGGTACAACCATATTTGTCCAGTTTGAATGACTGAAAATGACGTTTTACAGCGTCATTCTTCATCTCGGTGTCCAGTTTTTCTTTCGTCTCTTTTCGACTTCTCCATTTTAAATATGCTTTCGAGATGACAAGACAAGCATTTTTCTTAACTTCTTTACTGTATTCCTGACGTTGGCTGCGACTTTCTTTCTCATTGAAAATTCGTGAAAACTTGTACATCATTTCATCTTCTACAGCTTCAGGTTCTTCAACTTGTGCCATTGCTGTTGCTTTTGTTGATATTGTGCTTGCATGAGATTTGAAGCTAAAACTCTTAGAGTACATGTCAATTCTACAGTTTATACGACAATCTTTAGATCTAAGTTCATCCCACTTCACATCCACTAGTCTTTCTTGGCGTGGTTTTTGTAACAAGAGTTCTCTTAAACACAGAACAACATCCCGGAAACCATTCGCATTACGCGCATCTTCGAAGCACTTTTTTAGCTTCTGTGGCAGGTCATGGCGAAGTTGTAATGTGAAGAGTTGTTCACGGATGTGGACATTACATCCTTCGGGAATACCTCGACCACAGTTACACAGCATGGTAAGAACAAGTACCAAAACTCTTTCCACTTCAACTAGATGCACCGATGTGCTGGAAATAGCTTCTCTTAAAATATTATAACTTGAATTAATTTTACCGAGCGTAAGTTGGACGACAGAGCAGGATAGTTCGTGTAAGTGGTTGAAGCTTCGTTGTGGTTCAGCGCTTTGGAAACACTTCAGAGCATGCTGAATTGCCATATTAAAGGTGATGCTTTGGTTGGTTTGAGGTCGGTCGACAAAATCCCAAAAGCTGATCATGGAAAGGTAACTTTCTGGAAGGCAGACGATAGTGTCGTTCATCGTAAGGCGAGCGTGTAACATGAGGCACGCTGTGAGGTGACGCTCCAAAATCATCACGGAATTGGCAATGGACGAATAGGGTAAGCCTCTCCTTTTTGCTGGAGCAAGTAGAAATTGCTTAACTGCAGCATGAATTGAAAGAAAAACATCACCCCTTGAGTATAACCAAAATCTGGAACGTTCAAGAGCCCTGCTGAAAATATTGAAACGCCCGTCTTTGCTTTGAGACATACCGGTATGATTGGAAAGCTTGCGGTCTTCAAATTTTCTTTCCTCCACGCTGAGAAGGTAGTCAACTGACCCACCAGCAAGATGCAGCAAATTAGATACTTCAATAATAAGATCAGAACTGGTCCATCTTTCTTCTTCACTGGAACGACTATACCATAATACTTTTGCAAACTCTTCAATACGATTTGAAATTTTGCGACGTAGAAAAAGGACATCACGTTCTGATAGGAAATAGGATGCAACAAAGTTTCCTTTTCGGGGAAAGAGCAGTTCGTACAATTGGTCACAAGCTGTGAATTCCGGGTGAATAAACAGTACTTTTTGAAGTTGTGTTTTCACTTTTTCTGACTCACGTTTCATGCTTTTAAGAAAGTCTCCGATAATCTGTTCCAAATGAACTAGAAATAACAAAGCGTAAAACCTGTCCGCGAAATGCTGTCTGGTTTCTTCACTATGGTGGTTTTTGCATGTAGCGATGTCGCAATTAATTTCCGACATAAACTGAGGGCATGGTGTACAATTTGCGATGATTCGTTGGGTTTTGTTCCAAACTTTCTCAATGAGAGTGCGTGCCATTTGGAAAAGACGATCTTTAATCAACTTGTTCACTTCGTCGTTTGGTATAATTTTGTCCTCGGAAAATTTGGTTGAAGTTTTCAGAAGGTAAGCAAACCTGACCATTTCCAGGTGTGGCACTTTTTTATCGTGAGTACTATCAACATCCTGAAGACCAAAGTATTCGTAACACATTGCAATGGCGGTACGGTCTTTGTTTCCCTTCTTCTTTTTGTGGAATGCATGAAGAAGATATAGAAGACCATTCAATGTATCTATAGCTTTGGCTCGGGAAAAACTTTCAGGATTGGTATTCATTAGCACGAGAAAACAATCAGCAAGAGCGGCATAGTTTCCAGCTTCGAAAAACAAATTTCCAGCTTTTTCTACATCTTGTGAATTATCATAAAATTTTCCGCGCGTGAATTCAGCTTCAGCTTTGCCATTAAGATCGTTACATCTGTTATACACTTCAGCAGCACGTTCTAGAAGTCCTTCCACCAAATCCTCAGTTTCTCCATTGCGAACTTTCCTCTTCAAAGTAAGAATTGTTGAACGGGCGGCCAATAAATAACATTCAGCAATAAACTTTTCATCAGCACTATAACGAGCTGCTTCTAAAAACTGACCCTGTGATCTCATTAAATTAGATGCTTCTTTTAACTTTCCTTGTTTAACCAACAACTGGGCAGCGTCATTGAAACAGCCATTTCTTTTAAGGAATGTAATGTGATCCTTAACATCAGGCAATCTTTCTAATGTATCTTTCATTAGACGATGATCACCACGACGTTGGTAGAATTTGGCAGCCTGATAACAAATGGCTTCATCTCTTTGGTCAAATCGAAGAGGTTTTGTGATGGTGTGTTCCTCTCCGCGATGAACTAAATCTTTATATTTGGAAATTATTTTGAATACGTCGTTATATCGATTCACTTTAAGCAAAGAATCCACTGCTCCCTCAAAATTGCGAGCACTCATAAAGTTTCTTGCAGCATCACGAAACTTTCCCTCATTGCGATAAATTTCTGCCGCCACAGAGAACTAAGTGAGAGATAGAGAAGACATTTTTGGATCAGTAATCATGGCTCTCAAGTACATTAAATTTACAAAGATACACCTTTCAGTCCTCACATTTCACATGATATATAAGTCATTTCACATCAATGGGCCTATATACTACGATTAGTACTTACATTTCCAGATTTTTCATGCAATTTAGCCAGAAGGATATGTTCCTCTGCACTGGACAAGCATTTCATTGCCTCATCATTCATATAACATTCTAAAAACAGATCAGCAGCTTTTACAAATTCCAATCTTAACTTTCGAGGTTCACTTGTCAATGTAGCAGCTTTACTGACGTGTTCATGTGCTTTACACTTTTTTATCCACAGATCCTCTTTGGCCATCTCAAAACATTTCACGGCATCTTTCCATCGGCCTTTATCGTAAAAGAAAATGCCTTGTTTCTTCCACTCATCTTTTCCAGACTTTTGAGCAAACGTTCTTCCAATGGAAGCCACATCACCTTTTTTCTGCACCCGCTTCACCTCAACTACACCACGTTTCTGGAAATATTCAAACATGGGCGCTCTAGCTTCTTCGTTCTCGTCAAATAACCAAACGTTAACCCTGGCTCTAGTGAGAGCCGTGTACAGAGATTTGAATTCTGATATAAGGATCTTATGCTGGTCAGGATTGAATTCTAATGGTCTTGCTTTGTATGCCATATTCTCAACCATTTCTTCAGCAATGCCACTTGAATTTGTGTTTGAATCTTTATCGGTTCTTTCTTTGTATGTTCCCACAATACGCCATTCTTTCAGTGCCTTAAGGAATCAACAATGTCCAAAGTAAGTAAAAATTCAAAACCGTTGGTTAAAATTTTCATGCAGTATATTATTCCGTTGTCAAAGAGAAGCCTGCTTCAGGTGGGCTAAAAATATAGCCAGTAATCAGGGTGACCTAATTTTTCAAGGAGATAACAGAAGATGTGTTTGTACAAAGAAATGGTAATTCATACAACTAAAAGTAAAGGCAATCATACCTGAGAGTCTTTGAAAAAGTTATAGATCAAAACATCGTCAAATTCCAGACCTTTTGCTTCGTAAATAGTCATGACAAGTGCCCGCGCCAGACGTAATTCCTCAGGAAGCGAGTTTCGTACTTCAACAGAAGCTACAAGAATGACTTGATGAGCACCAAATTCTATTGGTGACGTTTTGCGCTTGTGGCCACGAAGAATATCAGCTAAATCACTGAAGCTACATGATTCTAAAAGGACTGGTTTAGGACCGTCAAACAACCCCTGGTCACGCGCCATTCGATCAAACGATTCAGGGAAAAAATGAGATAACAAATCGGTGACACTCGAAGCCAAGTTTAAGATACCAGCGTGAGATCGATAATTGTGCGTAAGTTGGTAAACTTTGTCAGGAACAATGACGTCTGCTTTTTGACCTTTGGATTCAAGAGACTCTCTCATGTAGTGGAAAAGTGATCTAAGATCACTAAAGCGAAAGGCAATCCCTCTCATAACACTTTGAGCTGTATCTCCAGTGAAGAATAATCTGTTTGGATTACGACATGAACGAATAATAAGAGAAAGTTCAGCCTGAGTGAAGTCTTGGGTCTCGTCAACGTAAATCTCATGAATTGACCAAGTTGGGACATGACGCTCAAGGCGGTGATAAATATTATGAACCACGTCGGCTTCATCAAACATTTCCTGACTGCGTAAAATGTGCTGATAAGCCAAGAATAATTTATAGATAGTCGTTCGGTTTGCCGTAAAGCTTGGTGCTCTTTTATTTCCTAGTTTCTGATATTCTTCCAATGTTACATAACCACAATCATTATGAAGTGCTTCGACTGATCCTTTGATGAACGATATAATCTCTGTCCAGACTAGACTTGGATGATAGTCTTCATCTCTTTTCTTCGTCATTTTCCGCCACAGTTCGTTCTTGAACACTTCGTACGTAACTTCTCGTCGATGATCCAGTTTCCCTCTTCCTAGTTGTTCCTTATGTCCACTATCTGCCGCTGTTGGCTTGTTTTTAACTGCATCGTGATATTTAATGTCCTCTGGAATCCCGTGTAGGTTGTTATCTTCCCCAGCCCATCCTCTGACATTTCTTTCAAGCTTGCCATCTTTGTTTCTTCGGAAGAATTGCTCCCCTGGCAAGGATGCATCCAACATTAACAGCCAGTCTCGGGAGCAAATAAACAAAGGCCATGCTTGCTCTTCAACTTGATCAAATGTGTACTTTTGCGAAGATTGTTGATGGTTAACATCGCGTCTTGTAAAAAAGCAAGCCTTACTCATCAAGGAAAAATTTTTTTGGACTTCTTCACACAACACTTTGTTCTTCGTGATAAATGCCTGGTGAAGATGTTCCAGAGTTTGCTCTTTCTCACCGCTTTGCAAATCTTCTTTGCCGTCGTTTCTGCAAGAAGGTCCTTGGCTAGCGCATTTTTCCATGGTTTTGGGTGCTTCGGATTCACCGCTTAAATAAGATATTGAACAGAAGTCACCTCCCTCTTTAAACATAGGCCTTTTATTTCTACATTGTTCTTCGTTTCCAGTGTTATGATTAATGCCGTCAGCAATTTGCGGAATGAACTTCGCGACATTTGGAATACTGGGTTCACTGAATTTGTTCAATTGCCAATATCTTTGATAGTTGTTCCACAAACGATACAGACAACATGTGGTCTTACCAGTTCCACTTCGTCCAAGCAAAATAATTGATGCCCTTTGTTTTTGTGACAGATTTATGACAGAATGTTCCAGTTCCGATACACAAAAAGGGAAATCAAAATCGCTCGTAATTTCATTATCAAGTATTGCATCAACCACCGCATTGGAGAAGGCATAAAACTTTAGTATGTGGTACTCTGTTTCCTCAAGGCTTCCAGGTGGAAAGAACATCTTCGTAGACTCATCGGGGTTACACGAGTTGTCAATCGACGTTAAGTGTTCTGTTGCCATTTGTTTTTGATCTTCTTCAGGGACATATAACTTAGGTATCGACCTTTGATTATCTGCATGTTGATGATGCGGAGTTACCCACCGACACGCCTTTTAAACTCTTTCTGATGAAGCAATTCTCACCACGTTCATAAGAACGAACAATACTCTTGATTTTTCTGGGTACTGTGTCATGGTCAAACACAATGTCCCAAATTCGTATAACCTCAGTATAAATTCCACCATTGTTTTCATTCTTTCTATTTGAGACGCTGCAACGCGGGGAGAAAGCAATTGCCCGTTCCCATATAATACGAGCTGATTTATCAAGCTTTGCTTCGAACAAAAGAATATCTGAATGGCTTGCAATTCCAACCAATCGTTTAGCGAGGGATCCTCGCATACGTCCGTTTGCTAACTGTCTGATCCATCGTAATTATCGCTACTCTGGTTTTAGTAAATGAAAGTAATCACCACACAAAGATTAACTTTCACGACCCAACGTTTCGACACTCCGGTCTAGTGTCTTCATCAGGGGTGATCTGATGTTGAAACTCGGTTCCTTATATACTCTCAAAATGACGTCATCTATTAATCAGATGTAAATACTCTTTTGGCAAATAGCTTCCGTCATCCCTATTAAGGGCACAAAGACTCGCATTAACAAAGGCGTTGTTTGGAAGCCTGGCATATTAATGCGAGTCTTTGTGCCCTTAATAGGGATGACGGAAGCTATTTGCCAAAAGAGTATTTACATCTGATTAATAGATGACGTCATTTTGAGAGTATATAAGGAACCGAGTTTCAACATCAGATCACCCCTGATGAAGACACTAGACCGGAGTGTCGAAACGTTGGGTCGTGAAAGTTAATCTTTGTGTGGTGATTACTTTCATTTACTAAAACCAGAGTAGCGATAATTACGATGGATTATATACCTGGTTGCCGTGAACTCATAAACTTCAACTGTCTGATAATTGTTACAATTTTCCTTTTCATATCACGTGGTATTTTTTTTTCTTTAAGTTTTTTCAACACGTCATATGTACATTGCACTTCCCAAGTTAACTTATCAAACGTTTCGTCACATGTTTTGGTGTCAAACTGTTGATGTGAAATGGCCTTGAAATGGCTGCTGCAGCTGGCAGTATTTTGATCAATTTCTTGATTTTCTTCTGTATCTTCCATTTCGCTGCACTCTGCATTCTTTATTTTATTTTCACTATCCATTTTAGCTGGTAGACATTCGATGGCTTGGATAATCTTTTCGCGTAGTCTTTCCATTTCAGTTGGGCAATGAACTGTAGAAACGGGAACTTTTTCGACGGTTTTCGTGACTAACTGCTTTGCATCTCTAGCTTTCTTGTATTTGTTTAAAATCTGATTGGGAACTCGTTCACTATTTCTATTCACTGACACATCCCTCTTCTTCTCTTTAGAATTTTTAGGTGCAAAGTCTTTAACACTTTCTTCAATAAGGCGATATCTTGGGTCGTTGTTCTGACGTATCATCATTAACGGAGTCTTCCCATCCTGGTTCCTTGTTCTCGGATCAACCTTGTACTTCCTCAGAAGACCTATTCCTTCAACTACGCGATGCAACTCTCTGCAGTCACCTGTCGCCACTAAGTGATAAAGATTGTTTCCATTTTTATCCAGAGTCTTGGGATATGGCGTTGCGGTAGCTGTACTTGCCCAGTTCTCCATTAAGTAATTAAAGATTTTCCAATTTCCTAGGAATGTTAAATTGATGTAAATGCATTAACTGAAACATGCTTGCATATTCTTACAAAGCCAGCTTAACAAGAATGTTGAAACAAAGTTAAGAAATCTTGTTGACAATTTGATTACCCTTTTTCAGCGTAATTGTTTTTATCTATATGAAATATTTTCCGGTGGCTATTTTAAACATCAGCCTTTTGTCGTTAATATCAAACAAACCTGAAGATAGTCCGATTCTGAATGCAGAATGAATTGGCATATCATCACGTTTCCCAAATTTACATTTTACGAGACCATCAGGGTTTGCATTTTTCTTTAACAGAATAACAGCAAGATCGTGATCATCGTAATTTACCGCCAAAGCCACTGGAATATCTTGTTCATCGCGTCCGTTCACTAAAACACCGTTCTCTATCATGACAGAGATTAGTTCATGATACTTAATTGGTTTAGGGTCTGATTTTATGACATCACACAACGATATATCACTGAGGTCACATATACGAGTTGCAATTCCACCGCGACCTTTAGCATACGATCGTTGGCCACCGCCACCCAAAAGCAAGACTTCTACAGACTTCCAGTAATCGTTTTCAACACATTCTTTCATATATCTATTCAAACAGTCACGAGGAAGTTCAAAATTAACCTTCATTGGGCCATCTAAAATGAAATGCATCACACATTACACATCAGTCTTGTCAAAATTCCCATGACCACTATTAGACCAATCGTAAAGCAGTAATGGATATTAGATCAAGCACCTAGGTTTCCTCTTGTCATAACGTGGGAATAAAAAGCACATACTCTAAAGCATATGCTTTGCATTTCCCCACTGGTCGGCGATGCAGTTTGCACTCACAGAAACCATTGGTGAATCTGATTGACGTTATAGAGGATACCTGTAAATAGGATACCCAAGGACACAGATTTAAAGGGTAAAAGTCATTTTTCAATCGCTGGTTTGACAGGAGTGAAGAAACCTGTCAAACAGAGTTGTTTTTGAAAATGAATGCTATATATCGCCGACAAAACATATATTTTGGACAAGAGTATATAAAAATAATTAAAGTTTCTTTGTATTATTTTGCTATCAATCTATTTAATATTCAATTTCAGTCGACACGGTATCGTTCAAACTTCAAACGTGCGTTGGCAACTGTGAAAATCTGCGATTTTCCCTATCAAATCCGAAGTTAAAATCTAACAAATCTTATTTATTACTTTCCAAAGTATTTTCGACTGGTTAATAATTAAGGTTGGCTGAGTCAACTTGAGTCATAAACGTTGTACCGTACATTTGTAAGCAATGGTCATGATTTTGTCTACAATGTTGTCCTTGTCTTCTTCTGTGGTCGTTTTGAGAGTCAGGCTTTTCCTAAATACATCCAAAGCGCGTTCGTATTCTTTCAGTTCACTCAGTGCCGATCCTAATCGATAGAAACTCTAAAAACAACAACATGATTACATCCACCATACTATTATACAGTGGACAGCTTACAGCTCTTAACTCTCCATGCACTTATGTTAATGGACCACTTGCATAATAGACCAGCTTATGATCTAGGTAACAAGAAAGGAAAAAATCCCCACAGCTATAAAAAGAGCCGAATACTGAAATTAGTATAATTGCCAAGTTTGGCTGCAAAACGCCAAATAGTACGGAAAATATAGCCAAGCGAGGTACGCAATTTTTCTTGTATTACAAGCGGAAGTGTGTTAACTAATTTAGTTAAGCTCTTCCCGCCATATAATACAAAAGTATACAAAGTTTAGCGACCTTGCATGGCTATATCTTCGGTACTTTACAATATTTCGCAGCCAAACGTGCCAATCCGTAAGTTTGGCATGTTCTTTTCGGAATTGTCACCTGAATCAAAAGTTCATGGTCTATTATGCAAGTGGTCAATTGTTATTAACGTTCATGATAGAAGGGATACATGAAATGCTACCTTGCCCCAATTTGGACGATACTTTAAACACTTTTCCGCATCTTCTTTAGATTTCATATATTGCTTCTTTTTTAGATACGCTTGTGAACGATTACTGTAAAGTGTTCCACGCAGTACGTCATCGCCGTCAGGAACATATTGAATCGACAGAGTATAACAATCAATTGCGTTATCAAATTTTTCTTCCTTAAACATTTCGTTTCCTTTTTTCTTCCATTCATTGGCTTCTTCCTGTTATTACATTATGTTGAAATTATTCATTAGAAAAATTGATCGCAAACGCACCGCTCATTGGGGGGGCGCTCAATCGCTTAAACGAGTAAATACGGTATTCGCCAAGAGGTACTCTTTTTTTCGACATCTATGCTCTCATTGTGGAACTCTATACCCTCACTGCAAGCACTTGTTGTGTTATCAAGAGCGTTAAGACACACGTATTGCGCTGTAAAAACAATAAACAATTTAAAATTAGGCTGTGTTCAGACTGAGTGCTCGGCACTGGTGCCCATGCAAAGTAAAAACTGACTGATTCATAAAACATGCTGAGCACAGTGCCCTTGTTAGTGTCCGTTCTTGGGCATGTGCCCAACTTCATTTAGAAGTGCCATGTTCAACTTAAGCCCCAGAAAAAATGCCGGGCACTCAGTCTGAACACAGTCTTATAGTCACCTCAGATTCCTTTATTGGACCAACTTTTTATTTGTTGTAACAACTAAAAACTTGGTTGTCTTCACCAAATAAAATTGATAAAAAAAAGTGAATCGAAGACAACAAATTTTAAAATGGTAGTTGTTTTTACAATCTGTTTTTACAGGGTGCGCTCTCCAAACGGAGATTTCAACATCGATATATTCCAATTCACATACCTTACTAGTAATCGGCTTTGCTTGTTGTCTTCTCTTTCCTGTTTCTATAGCTTTTTCATGAACTTTGTCATGCCACGCAGCATAAATTAGGCCTTTCCAGCTGCGTTGAAGAAGTTTTACTGATTCATCGACTTGATTCAAATGATCAAGAGGCCGAAAATAATTTTCAGCAAGTTGGAGAAGATGTACAGCTCGGTCATATTTTTCTGTACGAATCATTTCCATGCCCTGATTCATTATATCTCTACCTACGTCCTAGACAATTGTATAGAAATCTTAGCGTTTCAATTTACGCATAATATTTTGAATGAAGCAAAAATGGCTGAATACTAACTCACTCATACTAAAACTCGTTAAGTGAGATTTATATATAAATCCCTAATTATTGATTTTCTTATTCAATATTAATATATTCTTTATTCAAGGTAATTCCGCAGTAATTGTTCTCTAAATGAGAATGCGCTGAAACTTTCCAGGGTTCTAGTTTATGACATGCACAAAGTAAAAACACAAAGGAAAGTTGGGGTCACCGACTTCATTAAGAAGATTTGACAAACACAGTTCATCACGTTTTTCCAATATGGCGCCATTTTTATTTTATTTCGATTTACAAGAAATATTTGCAATTGCACAACTGTAATTGGATTTATCAATGATCGTATCGTAGTTTATTATATGTGTATAGAGATTTATGCACAGCGGAATGATGAAATAAAAATCGTATTTCACTTTGTAAATGCCATACATGGCTTTTGATTGGACGTACGATACTCTTCAGAAGTGAAAAATTGTCGTATGTCATTTTGGCTGCAATTTGTTTACACTTTCTTTCAAGATGGGGTCGAAATATAGGAGTGAGATACAAAATATAATGCTCATATTCAAGATATTTTCACATTCAGCACATTCTCAAATCTTTCGGAAAGAATATATGACTTCTATTGAACATAATTACAAGGAAACTTAACGGTAATTGATATGTTTTGATGCATAAAATTTCGAATATTGTTGCTCGCTGTGTTTTTGTATATTAAAAGCGTGTCGTTTTCAAATTGATCTCTATACACAGCTCGTTTGTACGATTTTTATTATGAACTCGTTGTGATCCTTCACAACTCGTGCATAAAAATCGTACGTGCTCGCCAACCATGAAGTAATCTCTATTTATCTGTACAGGAAACTCTATAGCTAAATTTATACGATTTTTATTTCCTTAAAATGCACGAAGAACAACATTTCTATCAAACATTTTTTACTTAAAACATCCATACAGGAACATCGTTATTATAGCATAATTTATATTTATTTAGTATTTTTTTTTGGTTTTAGATATACACAGAAAGAGTGCGCAATGCAAAACTGCGGAATTACCTTAATTGGTTGTTTTTGATCATGTGGTATTAAATAAAAAATTCCATTTTACCAGCCAGTCAGCGCTCAGAACGTTTGTTTAACTAAAAATTCCATTCTACAGTATTTCATAAATTATATCTTTTGCTATTCTTTATGGAACCTTATGAAATTTTGTGATTATGTTTAGTTATATAAGAGATATAGCAGTCTGAGATAAATTTAAAAACGAAATAAAGTATATTTCAAGAGATTTTCAAGCGTTTCAACTGAGAAATGGATTTTCATCTGACAACTAGGTCCAGTCCTTTCCGCCATATTTAATCACCTGACGTGCAGAAAAAGTAACCACTTATCAACCTCGTACCCAGGTTGGTTCAATGCGAAAATTTAAAGAGCTTTTACTTCAAAAACTCTTAGGAGTTAGGATATCGATGCAGTATTTTTTATTTCTACAATAGGGCCAACTTACCATTGGTGGGCCGAAATCCAGTCTTTTGGACTCTTCAATATCCTTTTCACATTCTTCGTGATCTTCATTATCATAGTGAGACCAAGCCCTGTAGGAATAGATTCTACTTTGAAATCCATTGTCTCCCTCTGAAAAATGCAGAGCAGCCGAATAACACCATATCGCCAAAACCGGCAAAGAAACGGTCCTTCCATGTTGCAACCATAAATTAGCATCTTCCTGTAAAGCGAAAATTACCTTTCTCATTTTCAATGAAACAGGAAATGTCAGGGCCGTAGCTTCATGTTTTTACCTACCGTTGGAACAACAGCTTTCCAAAGAAATCAGTCGGCCATAAGACGATTAATATATGAATATGCACCCCCCATTTAAATATCTTGCTGGGCAATGTACAAGTACAACAACAACATTTTTTTATGAAAACATACTCAAACGAATTTCTGAATAAACTGCTGACAAACTGTATAATAATATTATGTCAAACGAGCAGCGGAGAAGGGTAATTATTCTCCCGAACTAAGGTATTCAAGCAAATATTTAATAAGGGAGTTAGATCCCCATAGCAACAATGTTGCATGCAACCTGTTTCAATTCGTTTTTGTAACATCGACCAAAGTGACCTGTGAAATTTATAATACCCGAGTATTTTCAACTAGTATATTTCTTTTGAAACGGACTGGGAAAAACAATTTCACAAATCAAAAATCATGAGTAGTTTTAGAACCCGTAGAGTTTCGATGAGCTGTCGAAATGATAATGTGGTAGACATGTCTAGTATTTCTATTGGCATCCTAAATGATTACCAGGTTTTAGGAATTTTGATAAATATACTTAAACAAAATGGAAACAACAAAACTTACAAAATCACAAAGTTGCTCAGGACAGTCAAGTAATGCTTCCTTTACATCTTTTGTCGCCAAATCATATTGTTCGGATTTTATATAACAATCAGAACGAGCAAGCAAGATGTTTGACCAAAAAATTAGATCATAATTGCGTCCAGCCACATCGTGGAAATACTCCAATGCTACAGTAAAATGGTTAATCGCCTGTTTAAGGTTACCCTGGTGCTGTTCCTTTAGACCACATTGGTAGGCAGATATGACATTGTCCATCTCTTAGGTTGTGACCTGTGATAATTGAAGGCTGTAAATATCAAACTATTCCTTGACTGGTGTGCACTTTCTTTCAGTACTTCCTCACTATATAGGGCTATTTACATGATTCCGTTTCGCCGAGATTAAACGAAACATACTTTTAGGTATTGAAATGAGTACATAACGGAATACCTATCAGACAACTCCAATGTTTTTTTTCGTAAGTGTGACTCGTCATCATTCGTCACTCAGCAAGTAAGCAATCATCTCCCTGCAAATATTACAATTGCGCCAGGGGGATGATTGCTTCTATTTACGGAACTTGCTGAGTGATGAATTATGACGAATGACACTTACGCAAAAAACAATAGAGTTGTCTTCCTGGCAGCCATGTAGTCATCTCAACAAGTAGTAGTATAATTAAAGCCTCGATGCCGCAATGAGCTTGGCTAACCGAGCTCATTCATGTAAAAAGTCCCTATAAAAAGGCTATATATGTCTGAACTCCATGTGGTTATATTTATGGCTGGCCATAATTGAGTCCTATAGAGGTAACTGGTATCTATAACCAAAAACTAGTACCTATAACCAAACGCCTATTCCAAACCTATAGCTAGTCTGCGTTCTAGACCTTTTGTAGAATAGACAGGTTTAGCTTGAGGACGAGAATGTCAAAGACGACGTGAGTATTGCGGACAAATGGCGTTGGGCGTCCATATTTGAGCTCATCACGCCATTTGGCACATTTTCTTTCACGTTTGCGTCCCGCTCAAGCGAAATAAAACTGTCCAAGAAAGGTGATTTTGCGCGAGACTGAATTTTTCCGTTGTTACCGGTCAAGGGAACCCGTTACGGTCGAGTTCTCACAATCAGTCGGCCAAAAATGGTGCCTGAATTCGTGTGCGATGTAGCCTGTGGCTGCGTGCAGTCTCTAAAAGAATCATTTCCTGTAGAGAATTGGCGAAAACACTGAACTATATCGGGAAAAAGATTACCGCCCGGCTATAACTAGTATATTATAACATTTAATTGACCAACAAGGAGGAATTTCGTTTTAAACTAATCGCCATATTTGTCTACCTTTTTAGGCAAAGCAACAGAATGCCAAAATTTTGATACTTCATGTAAAATGGTATATATTGTGCTTTGTATCAAAATTTATGCATTCTGATCGGGTTATTGAAAATGTAAGCAAACCTGCTAAATGGTCTAGGACGAAATCCCCCCCTTGACTAATTGACCCTAATTTGAAAAAATGCATAGTCAGAATTAAGAAAGAGGAATAAAACTATCATTTTAGAAAGAATAATCAAAATTAGCCCTTCTCACGATGATTATAAATAATATCCGCCATTTTGGGGCTACTTTCTTTTAAAATATGACTTTGTAATATGCAACGATTGTCAGTAATCTTAATCAAATTTTAAACACTTATTTACTGCGAACGAAGGAAACGTTATGTTTTGTGGACCCGAGACCTGTCGATATCGATGGTCGAGGGTCCACAAAACATTATGTTTTCTGAGTTCTCAGTAAATAAGTTTTTTATTATATACCACTTGTCAAAGAAAAACCAAACTACAAGGCAAACAACGAAATATCTATTCATAAAAGACATAATTTAAAATGGATAAAAGTTGTTATTTCCCATGAGATAACACGTTACTCACTCTGCAGGGGGTCGCGCTGGCGACATCAAAATTTCGTCACTCTCGTGTGATTCGCTCTCGACCAATGAAACGCTACGAAAACAAAACTTTGACAAGTGGTATATATAATGATTATAATTTTTGTAATTGTCATTGCTATTTTGAGATATAAATAGCTAAACCTGCTAAACCTGATATAAATACTGCATGAGAAATAGATGTTGTATAGATATTACATCCCAACCGTAAATTATCTAAACAAAAATTTCACCCAACCTTAACCATCGCGTTTATATTTCTTTCCTCACATCACGCTATGATATACGAATACCCCGCTGCGAATTACGTCATTACATGTCATTACTGTCAACAATTTCAAGAAGGGAAATAAAGGCCAAATAAAGCCGTAGATCAACTGTCGATATAATGTTAATACATATATACTTTATAAACTATTCTGCTGGGAAAATTCGGTCACATAACAACCTCACGGTGTGATATATTTCTTAGAGTACTATTTCATCGAATTCCCCTCGCTGCAGTTATATAAATGACAAGTGACTGTGTTGCATCACATTCATTTACCGAATAATGCTTATAACGTCATATTGCACGTTACGAAAAAATAATTATTCGCTATGATATAGCGGATATACATGCAATGTGTCATGTATATACGTTAACAGGATTTGACAGTGAAATATAATGTTTTTAGTAATATTCCGGATCGATTTAATTTTTCTTACAGAAGGCACGGAAGTAGATACGGAAGTGGTATAATCCTAAGCGTAAGGTTTAGTTTATGCACAAATATACAGTATTTTGTTCACATTGTGCACAGAACAGAACAAAAATATCTAGTTTTTAACTCTTGTCACTTTCAGTCGAAATACTTTGAAAAAAATTAAAATTCAATACCTTGGCCGCTCGTCGTCGTTTTACGAGGGCATCATAACCTACTTGTTAACCAGGTACTCATACAGCGTAGACATGAAGTCCTTGCAAAGCATTTAAGAACAATGTATGAAGGAGCATTGCTTGCCCCGAATGTAAACTTGCCGTAAGTTTTTGATAATACGTATACCTCGGACAATATGCCGGAAGACTTACAAAAGAGATTAAGAGAACCTACTAACCTACTTGCTTTACAGGCAACTTTAGACTTTTAGTGACTTAAAGACTGTAATTGCCTAACCCATCATCCCTTGCGTGCGCGTTTATTGAATCAGCTGCCGTCTCAAAAATCATTACACGTTTTAAGATAATTACTATTTTATATAATTATATTTTAAATTTTCACTACTTGCATTAATTCGCACTAATTTTAAATGCTTCTAATATACATGTAACGAGCCGTGTTAATTTACACACAACGTGGTCTAGTTCCAAGTGTCATCATTATACATTGGGTATTTACACTATCGTTCCATAGTGCGTGTAGTCAACGTACGCTTCCTTTTTCATTATGTAAACGTCTGCTATATATTTATTATTGACTACTACATTTATATTAATCTCCGAAGCACTAGCAATGATGCATTTACTGTTCCTTATTCTATTAGTATTAGTCTATTATTATTTACATTATCCGCTATCACTGATCTGAAATATCCGTTACAATATACTTCATAATCGCAGAGTCCAGTCTGCGTTTTATGAGTCTATTGCAGTCGGCAGTCCGCGTTTTGCCATTTTGAAATGTGCAGTGGGGATTTTAAAAAATTTAGTGAGCATTTAAAAATTTAGTGAGTATTTAAAATGTGTAGTGAGTATTTTCAATTATGGGTAGTGAAAATTTTGATTGATTATTCTTACACTCGTCATTCGTAGACAGTGACTACCTAAATATCAAGTATCAGTAGTAATCTATAACCCGTATTGGTATATTTTTAAAACTATTAAGTTCACCACTATATAGTTAGAGACTCAGGAGCTGTTCACATGAGCCCAGCTACCGAGATTTAACGAGGCGTAAAATGGACAGGTATTCAGAAGTGAGTAAATAAGTGATTCTGGTAGTCGTGTCATCATACTATAAACATTAGCATGTGATTATTTTGTTTCAAAAAGACTTTTTTCAATACCTTAAAGTCCATTTTACGCTACGTTACATCTCGGTAACCCGGGCTCATGTGAATAGCCCAAGAGCCCAGCCAAGAGCCCTCTCACCTCAGGAAGAAGACCCTGGGTACGAAATTGCTCAGGTATACCGTTCATGCAAAGTGCGAATCGGGTGCCTTGTTCTTTTCGGTCAGCCATTTTGAAATTTTAAGTGGAGTTTCTTGTGATAAAAGTTCAATTATCTTCCAATGGCATCGCGATTACTGACTTATTCTTTAAGAAGCTTGTGCAGGGTGTCTAGAGGAAGCCAATCGCGTGTTTCAAATGCTTTTTTAACCAAAAGAAACGCGTCAGACGGTGAGAAAGATAACCAGTATTTCATACTATGAGTATTAGACATTTTATTATGTTATATTACATTGAGTTTTACAAATATGTGGGCTGTGTCTTTATACAGACTTGCAAACTAGATTTTAAAGTGAGTTCTCATTTATAATAAATCTGCATTTCAATAACATTTATATAGAAATGTACTGTATTCTGTCCTTGTTTGTACTGTATTCAATTCATGTGTTACATATTGCGACTAATGATTATCATCAATTTGTTTCCAGTCGGAAAACAAATTTTTAGGCTTATATACTATTTTCTGGTTTTTTAGTCTAGCAAATTTATGAGGTTTTTTAAATAACAAATTCTTTCATAATATATATTGTGACCAAGTACAAATATATAGCATAATTATATAGAATTATGTATTAGTCATTCTATTTAGTATTTTGTTTATACAACTATAATTTAGACAAACAAAAATATGGATTGTAGATGCAACTCAACTCCTCTACAGCAGCGCTTTTGTAACATTGCATTACATTGAGTTTTACAAATATGTGGGCTGTGTATTTATACAGACTTGAAAACTAGATTTTAAAGTGAGTTCTCATTTATAATAAATCTGCATTTCAATAACATTTATATAGAAATGTACTGTATTCTGTCCTTGTTTGTACTGTATTCAATTCATGTGTTACATATTGCGACTAATGATTATCATCAATTTGTTTCCAGTCGGAAAACAAATTTTTAATTCCAAAACTCAATTTCAGAGAATAGAAAAGATTAGACTTGTGTCTAAAAATGTCCAAAATTACCCTTCTGCAAATGTTGGCCCCTGAAGTGTGTGTGAGCACTGAGCAGTCTAAAGGCTTTTGCCATTTGAAAAAATTGCCATTTGGAAATCAAATGGTTGAATTCGACAGTTTACAACTGTTGAAGGATCCAGTTATGGTTGTGGTTAGTCATGATCATGACTTTAGTGATGATCGAAACTATTGTAGTACTTTAGTAGTTGATATTTGGGATATATAAAGTAAATATTTATGCCTGTAATTGTAATCAGGTAATGCAGGTATTTTTAATAATTACCTTTTTTAATTAATTAGATATTTAAAAATACTTATCTTAAATTACATATATCTGATAATGTAGTAGGATATGACCCTTCCTAGTTTTTATCAGAACAGAAAAGGAACGTTTTCGGGTGAAATTTTGTAATTTTTTCCGGTGGAAAAACAGTTCGGAAAAGAATACCAGGCCAATAGTGCATTATGTTAAAAATCTGTTTTAGACAATCAATTTTAGTGCATAGAACTGCCCCGTTGTTTAAAAATAGTGTTCTGTGAAAGTCCAATTCATGCATCAAGTAAGATAAAACAAGATTGTTCTCAATGGCATTCACTGTTAAGAGTTGGGTTGGCCAGGTATAATTGCCCCCTACTGTGCATGGATGCAGAAAATGTTTTGTTCTGAGGAAAAGATTCATAGCCATAGTCGAATTGACGGTACGTGACAACTGCAATAATAAAGTGTCACAAGTGAGAATTTATGTACACAAATTTGACTGTTGGAAGTTAGTTTTAGGCTTATATACTATTTTCTGGTTTTTTAGTCTAGCAAATTTATGAAGTTTTTTAAATAACACATTCTTTCATAATATATATTGTGACCAAGTACAAATATATAGCATAATTATATAGAGTTATGTATTAGTCATTCTATTTAGTATTTTGTTTATACAACTATAATTTAGACAAACAAGATTGTAGATGCAACTCAACTCATCTACAGCAGCACTTTTGTAACATTGCTCTTTTGTTAAGGTGGCATTGCAAGAGATGAAGATCAAGTGACAGGTCTTGAGAAAAAAGAACTTGAAAAAATGTTGGAAGGAGACATGGTATGTCAATCTATTAACAAGCAGATACACTGATATAGCATAAATCAGCATTAATTGATAAAAGGTACTGATATTGATAAGTTGGAGTACAAAACACACAAAGTTTGACTCCTTGACATAACACACAAAGTTTCACCACTTGGGAATATTTTTTTCTTCCAAATCAAACAACTTCATTCTCTTCGTATTCAAGCAATTGAAGCAAGATAAACTGTGCGGCAATCCACAGTACCTATCCATATTACCTATCCATATTACCGATCATGGCAAACAACTTATTATAAGGGTTACTTTTTGTTAAAACCATAGGATCCCTTCAATATGAAAGTTTACACTGGGCCAGGAGGTACTAAAGCAAATCCAACAAAAGTTCCATCCATGGATGATGAAAGAATTGTTGGCTGTATATGTAAGTTTTTTATGTTTGAGTGCCTAAAAGCCAAGAGCAAACCAGGAAACAATGCTCCGTGAGAATATTTTGCCAAGTTTCCTGTGGGATGCAATATAGCTCTATGTTTGTGTTACCTAGGGCTCAAGGAAATGTTTCATAAATATTACTTGCAGGAAAAATTTTAAATCTTGAAGGAACTTTTTCTTGTTCACAATTCACTTTACATGTAGGTTAGACACTTTGAAGAATATAGTAAAATTTATATTTCCAAAATATTATTGCATCAGATTTCAAGCAGTTTATACGATATACAATACTATAGTTTGTACAATATTATTGCACCACATTTCAAGCAGTTTATACAATATACTATTACTATAGTTTGTACAATATTATTGCACCACATTTCAAGCAGTTTATACAATATACAATACTATAGTTTATAGAATATTATACAATATACTGTTACTAGTATCTATCTATAATGCTAACCTATCAACAGTGCAAGCAGGTCTGGTAATTTTTATTACCCACCTAACTTAAATATTTACCAAATTAATACCAATAGGTGACAGTCTGACTTGATTTGAGCAGTTTTTGATTAAAAATTTGTATATATGGTCACACTGCCTATCAGTAGAATAGAAATGATGCATAGGTACACAGTTACAGAGCACAGTTACACTGCATTATAAAGTTACACTGCATGATTAAGTGATAACATGAACTCAATATGTCAACTAAATAATTTCCTCAAACAGCCAGAATTTAAAAGAAATTAACTTCAAATATCCAATGAAGGTAGACTCATTGTGCCAGTGATGGTGCCTGATATTTTGACATTAGGGCTCGTTCTCGTCGTAAAGGAAATTCTGCATTATAGTTTCGCAGGAAATTTCAAATTTTGCATATCGCTGAAAGAAAAATACTTTTTCCAGGCCTGCTTTTTCGCAAACCAAGAATAAGCAGGAATATAAATTAGTCCTACTGATAAGCGCAAACGCTTTATCGTTCAGGCGAAGAAGATATGACGTACATCCAATGGATGACATTGAAGAAAGGCGAACCTCAGCGATGTGATTGTGGCTATTTCTTTGAGCTGATACCTGGTCTGCCCTACAATCTCTCTAGTTAAACATACAAATAAGGACGATAGTTTATTAAATTCTAAGTTGAACCAAACCATTTACTATTAATGATATCAGTATATTTTGCAGACTCTATTTGGATGAATTTCATAATATTTTGCATTGCCTGTATGTTAAACTAAGTTTTAAAAAGTCGTTAAATTATTTTTGTTTTATTTTTCTTTTTGTTGCCAGAATCCCTTACCTGTCGAACTTATTAAACTTCATATGTTCTATCCATACTTTTACTTTTGGAAACCAAAGTATAAAGTGGCAGAATCTGTTCCAAAGTGTGAAAATATCACAGCAGGTGTCAAATGAATGATTCACCGAATTATTTTTTTCAATATTTTTATTCATACCAGCCATATTCCCCCATGATACTAGTGTCTTATAGCGATACCTTTTTAAGATAAGCCAAGCGCTTCTTAAGGCAATTCCTTATCAAAGTTCAAAAGTGGCTTTAGCCCACAAACATGGTTACCGCTCATAAAACTGAGTATATGCTATTAGATCAGGACAAAAGTTGTCCGAAGTTAGTTCCGGTTAAATCACATATCACTGGAATCTAAGGGTGCAATTAAATGTTTATTCATTTACCAAACACTGGGGTAATGGTGGATGCAATTCTCGACTTTCGGATAGCGTAAAAAACACTCGCTGTAATATCCCGCGTGCAGTATCGGGCTCTCGTGCATTCATTTCATACGGTCTTAATTAAAAGAATTTTAATCAACAAACATAAACCGCGCGGCACGGCTCCCCCACGTTCACAACCTTTTTTAGCGCTTTTGTTTACCTGGTTTTGAATTTTGTGCGGCGGTGTTGAAATAATTATATTCTAAAATCACAAAACAAACAAATTACAAAAGCTTCAAATAAGGTTGGTCAAATAAGTAATTACAGGTGACAGGTACAGGACAGCCTCGTGTACTGTTCGAAATAAGCTTTCTTAGGACAGGACACCTTAATGGAGGTGGTAGCAGAGCCTCCCCCCTCCCCAAACACACCTCTTACGCCTGTGGCTAGCAAATAAATGTTTAAAATTACCTACTTTGATTAGTTGCAGAGAGAATATAATTGTAAACATGCAATGATCAATATACAAATAATTCTCTATTCTAGTGTGTGAGTCTTAAGTGACTCCTATACACTACAACTACATACGTGCAAATTATCGTAAATACCCCTGGCCTGATCTGGCCTTGAGCTAATTTATGAATATACATAAGTATACCTGTCCGTTGCTTTTGAAAAACTGTTCGGTGGATTTTACTGTTTTCAATCCTAAAACTATAATCTACATACTAGATACCATACATTTGAACATTTCAAACTATATTATGCTAACTTATTATATGACTATCGCAATATATTCGCTGTTCTTGTTTTTTTACTGCATGAACTTTTACATTTTTAAGTATCGTTTGCACGTTGAAAAGTTCAAGACCAACGGGTTAATGTCACACAATCCATTCGCAGTTAATAGCTCTGAATATATATATAATACAATGGTGCAGTGCAGTAGCGGAGCAAAGTTATTTACTTAAAATGGTCAAGTACATGTTCAGTGCCAGAATATTTCCTGCGTTGTCGTTGGTCGAAAATTTTTCATAACATCTCGGACACCGGACTTTCGTCATTGTTCCGGTAAATTCAGTAACTAATGACCCTTCATGGCATTTTGGACAAGCGTATTTTGCATTTTGCAAGCCTTTCAACGAATTCATCAATTTTTGAGCTACTTGAGGGCCATGTTTTCGATAATACTCTTTCTCCCTTGCAGTCAGGTCATTCAACGTCCAGTAAACGTCAAAGAATTCTAGTTGAAGCACTTCTGCATTTTGCACTCTGAAGAAACCATTGTCGGCCCATTCTTCTCCCCACGAATTCATCAAGATCAAACATTTGCTGTTGTAACTGGTCAAAACAACAGCATGGCCACCAGTGGTCGCGCCATGGGGGCGCTTACGTATGTCAAGTTTATTTCGCGTGAGCACACCCTCAGGATCATTGCGGTAGAACTCTGAGAACTCATTCCATTCATCATCTGTGAGAGAAAATCTTGCTACCACTGGGCGCTTCTTGACAATAGCTTCCTTCGCTTCTGCGATACCAACCTTTTTGCTGTGCAAACGATACTTCGAGCACATTTCTTTCAAAACTCTTTCAGTGTTAGCACCATGCTTTCCATACTCATCTATCATTTCCTTTCTCAACGTCTTAAACTCAGGATAGCCTCTTTCTCGACCAAGAATTCGATGCATTGCCAAATGCAGCGTTGCAGCGGATGCATTCGCATAACAGGTAGCTCCTGTTTGTTTCTGTGCTTTAAAACCGCCCTTCGTTTGGTTGATATAAATATCAAGATCAATCGATACCAGCGCTTCAGATAAAAATTCGGGAAAGCAGACGAAGTCTCGAGCCATTTTACATGGTTCGCTATATATAAAAAAATACCAACATGAGTCAAAAAATCTAATCATATAACATCTCATGTGATTAATCATGTTGTCACCTAACCCAGTGCGTAATACAGCTTTTTGCACCTATTTTACAAGCGGATTTCGTAAAAAAAAGTTAAGAACTGTTCAGCCAAGATATACCCCTACAACCCACTCTGAGCACCCCTTGCTTAGAAGGTCCCATTTCGTTAATACCTCTCAATCCCTAATCAATGATTTTAACAGTTATTCATACCTTAAGTTGTCGGGATGATTGACATGCATAAACAATTTCGTTTCATTCTTAGCAAAATCGATCGTCCATCCCTGCTTGAATAAAATTGCTCGTGGTAGAAGCTGTGTTGGCACTTTAGAACTTAATCGAAACAGAAACTTGGCTCCGGATTCCCAAGAAGGTTCCAAAGTATCGTACAACCGCTTTGGTTGAATATCTCTGGATCTGCTGATGAAAGACGATACAACTTTCACGTCTGCTTCTTTTAATTTGCGGGTCATTTGGTTGATCTTCTCGATATCTTCATTACTACCATCTGTAGGGATTCCATCTGATACGATGAAAAGCAATTTGTTTGTCTTGGAATTGCTTTCTTTGAAAAACTTTATAGCTTCTTCAAGAGACTGATACAACGGTGTTTTGCCATAAATAAAAGGCTTGACATTCTCAAGCAATTCTTGCGCTCGCTCTTTCGTAAGTTCTTTTTTATCAACATATCCACGGATAATGTTGGAGGCATCCTTTACACTGAAGATGGAGTTGCTAGTAACGCGCTTAGGACTGAGTAGTCTAAATTTGCGGGGGAGAGTTGCAGGGGCAGTTTTGGATAATATAAGGCACAGCTAAAACGTGCCAGTTTGGTGCAAAATGTTCTCCTGGAGAATGTTTAAAATTTAAAGAGCCAAAACCGCATCTTGGAGCGCAATCTTTCCTGTGGAGCTGGTCAAAATTAATTTTAGATCGTTCTCATGCAACTTCACGAGTTGGTTTTAGCAGAAGTAATGTACCGATAATGCAATAAACGAAACAAATTCAATTAAACTTATTGACATTCATATAAGGATCGAGCCACGTTTCAACATCCAGTGATTTCGAAGCGTATATGATGTTTTGAATCGAGGCATATTACATATATTTACCTTACAGACTTATATCTCAATTTATGTCACAGGAAGAAAATTTAGTACTTCACCTTATCAAACAGACGATATACATGCAGTATAGGCTAGAGCTTTTGAAATTAACTTAGAGTGGTGTGAACGCACGTCGCCTTTCCAGTCTTCACTGATACGGGAATTAGAATGGAAAGTCTTAAATATGAAAACATTAGGACTATTCCTGCTATTTGATTTCCTACAATTGCTATTTCAGAAATCAAAGTTCAAGTTCGATCACCCTAAAGTCCGAAACAAATTTAATATACTGAACAACTTACATGTAAGAAGGAAGATGTATATCCAATGAATTCGACGCGTATGATGTTTTGAGTCGAGGAATATTACATATGTTTACCTTACAGACTTATATTTAAATATGTATACCTTATTAAACGGACGGTATAAAATTATAGCTAGGCTACGCCTACAGCTTTTGAAACCAACTGAGAGTGGCATGACCGTCTTAAGATATGGGAACTAGAATGGAATGGTTTAAAATATGAAAACATCAGGACTATTCCTGCTATTTGATTTCCTAAAATTGCTATTTCAGAAATCAAAGTTGAAAATTTTGGTTCCGGTTCTACTTTCCTAGTAACATAATATCGCGGGAAGCATAGATCACTTGAACCGAAACAAATTATACTGAACAACTCTTACAGGAAAATCAATGTATATCAGGAATACGAAAGGCAATATCGTGAATAAAATTTCTTGGTATATTACACTGATATCAATTCATAAACTATCCAAATCGAAATTTTCGTATGAATGTGAGCGATTTATAAGTTCGTTGTGAGAACACGGTTACCAAAGTGAAATTCGGTTAACAAAACGTTTCTAAACAGCTGCCCTATCGATTTAGAGGTCAGTGCTCAAAAAGTGCTAGAAGTCTGTGGCTCCTATACGATTTTATGTTTTATATTTTCATCTAATGTATTTTATATAGTAAACTCGAAGCCCATAATATAAGGATGAAAGGCAAATTAGTACACAAGCGACAGCCATTTTGTCCCTATTTCTTCATGGTAATGTGATTTATTATAAAGCTCGATTTAATAAAAACATTCACGCACATCACCAAGACTAATTTTTTCTGCAGTCGCTTTAAAAATATCCTTCCATCAGGCAGTCTTAATCCTTAATCGTCTCTTTAATCCTTTATATCCTTGAAGCGTGCTTGAATGAACCATTACTGTGTCAAATTGAACAAGACAAAATAGTTACTGATGATTCGCCAGATGTAGTTTTCTACACATCACTGATCCACAGTGGCGTAGGACTGAGTATCTTAAATTTGGGGGGTGTTAGCTAGCTTCCAGAGGCATATATAATAAAAAGGTGCATCTAAAATGTGTAAGGGCTGCATGGTTTGATTTTCAATCTTGCATGGCTACTATTAGTGCGGTCTGACCGTATGAATTCATTCCTATGGCTATGTATCTTCTTTCCGAAATCTAGGTCTGGGACCTGAAGTCAGTTGTGACTGGAAATAGATTGCTATTCATATTGGATGAGGATCGCATAGCTTAGTTATCTCCTTATGTCATTTTTTCCGCCGTGATACACTATGTAAGGGCTAGGGCCGGTTGTTCGAAAAGGCGCGGATATAAGTTCAAAATGAAAAACAAAATTATCTCTTTATCATGCCATTTAGTTCCCCCGGGCAACGAGATTAGGCTATCTCTTTATTGGACAAATGAGCCATGAAATATTTCGATATAAATGGAAGTACATATTTAATGCATATATAAGATGCAGGTTTAGACGTTCAGTCATTTACAAGATGTATGCATGAGTCTAAGTATTTTTAAATTTGAGCTTATCCGTTTAAGGTAAACGCCCTTTTGAACAACAGGCCCCAGGACTCTTTGGCAGCAGCAGTACAATTTCCCGCATAATTTGGATGGCTGTAAATTATCAGTGTAGGACTATATAATAACGCTACGCGTATAACTAACGTATATATAACGTATACGTGATATATATATAATATAGACACTATACAGTTTTTAATGAGTATTAATCCGAATAATAAGCACAATGGCAACTTATCTTAAATTCTTATAAATGCGTGCATTCTATTATGCGATTATTATATTTGCCGAATCGATTGTGTTTACATATAGGATCTCGCTATTGACTAGCTAACACGCAGACATGTAACCTCGGCGAAATTTGAAAGAAACTTTGAGAAACAACATGACATAAACCTCTAGACTTTTATTCATTGATATTAGTATTACCTACTAAATATTCTTTTATTTTCTGGCGTTGGATGTTCCTCCTGAGTACAGAATCGCGAGAGACTGTGGAGGAGTCAGAATATAAAATTTCAAGTCAAATGCAGCTCTATAATATAACTCAACTATAGTTTTTTGTAATAAATCTACATCTAATCCTTCAGCATCTTCCAGCATTGCAAAGACGCGTGAACCACGCAGGAATGCGTGGATTACCTATAAGACATTATACAAATACATAATCAAAGTGCGTAATATTCTGCGTCCAGGGCCATATATATAGCGAAAATGATAGCAATTGTACCTATCATCTGATAAAAAGATTTTTGAGATATTTATCAGCAAATTTGAACTTAATTTTAAGTAAAGCCATTGCCATTGCCGGACAATAAAAGTTAAAACCTTGTGCGAACTGTGAAAAAGTACTTTTTCTCGCAGTATGTTTGCGTATAAACATATTATAAAGTACTGACTTCGCAAAAACTCTATTGGTAGCCACCTTAATTTAAAGTTGCGTCGTTTAATAATATAAATAATTTCTGGGCATTACGGTGGTACATAATTTTGCTGCACTGCACTTATAAACAAGGGGAGATTTTCGTTTTATATTAGACCAATCATCAAGTTTGTTTACATTTTCAGTAACGATTCAAACTATGACCATTGTGTTTTAAATAAACAATTATCTAAAAAGCAAATAATTGATCGCTTTTTATATTTTTATTAATAGTTTTAACCGCTTTGCTATAATGGACACGCATTACTCCCTCTATATATCTGAAATCTTATATTATTACCAACTGCATAGATCTGTGTAGATCATGTGGATAGATCCGATAGATAAATATTGCATTCAGTACCAACTCAAAACTGTTCTATCAGTATATCTCTGATTGTGTAGTTGGGATGTGCTTGTCTAACTTTACCTACCAATATAGCGGCTGAATAGAACAACAGCGAAGATAACAGTGAAAATAAGACATGATAACAGCAAAACTGCCCACCAGCTGATACCATGCGAGAATCCTATAAATGATGAATCGAAAAATTAAAGTTGATGCAACCAGTTCAGATCTGGTCGTTTATTATCGGCAACGTCACTTCACACCTGGTACCACTCAGTTTTATCATTGTTTCCAAACATTACGTAATACATGGGTTATCAATTTGTCCTTCTAAATAAATAATCTACCCTCTTAAGATCCGAAGAATATTGGGTACTTTTATCTTTAAATTCGTAAGAAACGTTCACTAAATAGTAAATACATCGGTGGAATGGGCACAAAACCTTGAATATATCTAAACATGCAAAACCGTACAACCCCCTATTAAATATCAACACCACCCCTATTAAGAAAAGCAAAAAATTTAAAGATCCAGACTTGACAATATTGTACAGGGGTGCTTGCATGGCATGAAAGGGAACTTTAACAGGCTATTGTTATTTGAATTATTTTATTTATACTAATAAATATTATTAGGGCCGTCGCTAGAAGCTCCATTGGCCGGGTGCATATTCATATATTCATGTTCCAAACAATAGCTAACAAAATAAATCAGTTGTATAAAACGCTTTATATACGTAAGGTGGTTCACCACAGAATTTTTTTTCTTTAATTTTGAAATATATAAAAATCCGTTCATGACATATTGCAAGCCAAGTTACTCCGAGTGTAAAAAGACTTGCTGTAATCTTCAATCACTATAGTTACCTAGACCCGCCGAATAGTGGAAAATAGACGCTTTTTGTAAACATGATAACAAACTAGGTTTTAACTCTAGAACGACGGAATTGGTTTTATTTAGTTCTAAATATTTTTGCCTCGGAGCTGAACTAGAATAAATAAAACTTGTCCAGTATTAAACGTTTTGCAGACTATAAATATAAAACTTCTACGATCTATCAAAAAATAATCAGTCGCTATTTTACTGAACGGAATACAAAACTTTTAGTTCATCTGCACCTCGGAGCCAACTGTCTTAAAGTCAACTATGAAAATTTTAGTTTGAAAATTAGAGTTATTTTAGGTATTGTGCACAAAAGTAAGGGGAATGAGAATTTTAGTTTGCTAAGAAAAGCGACGAAAATAGTTTGCATATATTCATAGAGAACAATACAATAGAGCAATGAAACAATAGAATGAGCCAATCGACTGCCTTTGTTTGCTCGGGGTAAAACCCTAATTAGTGAAACTTTTTGTTTAATTTTCGCGTTCTTCGTAAATTTTTAAAACAGAATAAATCATGATTTTTTGTAGTGGACCGCCTTAACTACATTTCCCATAGGTAAATCCGAGTTAACTCAGAAATACGACTCTGATTGGGCAATTCTGTTAACTATAGTCTTTTAAACAACTGACCCCAGGCCCATGTTTTTGTTTTGGAAACACATGACATTACATTTGATTTTCTTTGATCTTTAAAGTAACTGAACGTAGTAACGCATATGCATTTCTATCCTTCACAAAATATAAATCACATGCATGGCAACGAAGCTATCGAGTAAAATGCAATAATCGGTAAGGTGTATTGACGTAATCTACTCTTTGATATCTTGGTTGTGGAAGGTGCAAAATGTCAAAAGTCGTATGACTCCCGCAATTTTTTACCGCCCCCGCCCCATTAGACTTATTTATTCAACGGTCCCTAAAAATGGATCAGTCAATTAGCAACATATCCTTTGAGATACTGTAAGTAATGATCGAAGTTATACCTATGACTATTGTTGTTGATTCATTCGTTTTTGCTTGTTTTGCTTCTGTTGTACGTCGATGTACTTCGGTTGTAGATTGATTTACTTTCGTTGTAGGTTGATTTACTTTCGTTGTAGGTCGATGTACTTTCGTTGTAGGTAGATTTACTTTCGTTGTAGGTAGATTTACTTTCGTTGTAGGTCGATTTACTTTCGTTGTAGGTAGATTTACTGTCGTTGTAGGTTGATTTACTTTCGTTGTAGGTCGATGTACTTTCGTTGTAGGTAGATTTACTGTCGTTGTAGGTAGATTTACTTTCGTTGTAGATTGATTTACTTTCGTTGTAGGTTGATTTACTGTCGTTGTAGGTATATTTGCTTTCGTTGTAGGTATATTTGCTTTCGTTGTAGGTTGATTTACTTTCGTTGTAGGTCGATGTACTTTCGTTGTAGGTTGATTTACTGTCGTTGTAGATTGATTTACTTTTGTTGTAGGTATATTTGCTGTCGTTGTAGGTATATTTGCTGTCGTTGTAGGTAGATTTGCTGTCGTTGTAGGTAGATTTGCTGTCGTTGTAAGTAGATTTGCTGTCGTTGTAGGTAGATTTGCTGTCGTTGTAGGTTGATTTACTTTCGTTGTAGGTTGATTTACTTTTGTTGTAGGTTGATTTACTATCGTTGTAGATTGATTTATTCTTATGATTTTTGTGGTAGGTTCAGTACGTTTTGAAATTGACGTTATAATACCTGCGAGATAAAACAAAATTATTTTAGGTGGGAAACTGAGTACAATAGCCGGGTTAAGACAATCGTATATATCAACAGTGGGTTTAAAGTTATTGCCTTAATTATCCTGCTTACCATACGTTTTGCTGAATGCAAAGTTAGTTACTTTCGTCGGAAAAACATATTTTAGTACAATCTGTATTTCAAACCATATAGTTTCCCCCCCCCAGAGAGAAAAAAAGAAAGCAATGGTCGTTGTTCCCATCCTGAATGTTGATTAGGCGGTTGTAATAATACTACAATCATTTCTATAATAAAATTGCAGCATTTTTCCTTGTTTACAGAAAGTTAACTTTGTAATGATAGGTAATATGTAATAATGTTAACTTTCCTCACTAATAAACTTGTTTAAAAAATACTCGAAAGCGACAAAATTAGGTCAAAATCTTGTTATAATAAGATAACTCACCCCTCGTTGTTTGAGGAATAAATTTCTCGGTCGGTTGCAGAGCGGTTTCTGTAACATATAATTAAAATGATATAAATTTTATATATTGTGATGTTTTAAGATAATTTATTCCTACAAAGTTAAGTGTATTTGAGAAGGGCGAAAAAAATGAAACCCAACCCGCTTTTTGGCACTACTTTTGGCACATGCGCCTCGGACAAGCGTTTGGGCGCGAGATTGTTTCATTTGTTTGAAAATTTTGAATTTATAGGGAACTTGCCAGTAATCAGGGTCGTAGCTAGAAGCTCAATTGAGGGAGAGGGAGAATACTCGTATATTCATGTTCAAATTAGCGTGTCACACAAAGGATGTCAGTAAAACGAGTCGGTTTTAGGACAAATATATTAATATTCGCCCCACTCCCTAATTAAGCTTCTAGCAGTAATTCCAGCAAATCACGCTGCTCCAAATTAGCTAAAATTTCTTCCACTCGTACAGGCTCATATTGTTAACGGACAACTTATATAAAATTGAGAGCAGTGCACAGGGACCGCGGAGGGGGGGGGGCTGGGGGGCTTTAGCCCCCAATTTTCTAAATACACGTGATTCCTTTATAGCGATTTTTATATGGCCATAATAATACGAATAAAAACTCCTTAAAGTAAGCTGTGTAATCATAATTATGTTTTCACTATCCGTGTCGGTGAACAATGTTTTTATTGAAGTGTTTACAAGAAAAATATAAATAGATAAGTATGGACACCCCCCCCCGAGAATTCACTCTTTCGGCTTCGCTAGCCCCCCCCCCCAAACAAAAAACTGCACCGCAGTCCCTGTTTAATATTTTATAAAACGAAAAGTTTTTAATTTTTGATGCGAAGACCGCTGGAGAACTGAGCCCTCTGTATATATGCTGAGAGAAAATTTGCCGAATATGAGCAACGTGAATTAGAAGACTGAAGAGCTTCTAATTCGTAATTTTGATTACCTTTGATAATGACAACTACTCTCAGAATCTGTGTAGGAGGTTGTCCAACGTCTGATTTTTGTACAACAGAGCAAAAAATGTGCCATTGGAAGTTAGCGTAGCGTTATATACACTAAATGTAAACCTGCCACTATTCCCGAACGAACCAGTAGCAACGAAATCCATGGAATGATCATATACCATTTGGTACAATTTATGCAACCCAGCAAGTTCAACTTTATCTTTATATCCATTAGGATAAATTGAAAAATACCAATCCATACTTTCCATTTCCTCAAGTGGTGCGCATGTATATGCAATGTTGATAGTAAAGTTTGATCCGACTTGAACACTTATATCATAGTCGTCTTTTGGGCTTGTAATGTTGCAAGCCTGACCTAAAATAGAACCGTTGATTGTTTTTCTAGTTGGGAAAAGATTCTCCTGCAGGGGTTTATAGCCAGACTTTCAAAGGGGGCTCTTTGCATTGATATACATGTCAACAGCATTAGAAAGAAATTCAAACTTTGCTCTTAACAGTTTTAAAAAATTGATATGCATTTTTTAAATTCGGTCAGTTTTTTTCACGCTCTCTTAAATCTTAATTTTGGCCAATCGAAATAAATCGCGCGGTCGCATGTAACATGCATGCAAAATATTTGTTACCATCTTATTGGCGTTTAGGGGCTCATTGGACTTCCAGCTTCTTTGTGCTTAACATCAGCTACGGGTGAGGACTGTTTTCTGGCCGACACGTTACGTTAACAAAAAGTGTAATGATTAGTAGTGCGTGTTAATATGCGCACCCAGGTTCCAGGTATCTTGTATTTGCACGCTTTCTTAGCGTACCCGACCAAAGCTAAACCACACGCATATTCTGTGCACTCGATCAAAGTTAAACGACACTGTCACTGCACGTATACTTCTGTATACCCGATCAAAACTAAACGAATGTACGCATATTCTGTATACTCGATCGAAGATAAACGGCACTGCACGAATAGTTTGTGTACACGGTCAAAATTAAACGACTGAAAGCATATTCTGTTAACTTGATCGAAGCTTAACGACTGCAGGCTTTTTCTGCGCGATCAAAATTAAACGTCTGTACGCAAATTCTGTGTCTCGATCAAAACTTAACGACTGCACCTATTATACCAAACTCTATTATACTAAGGGGCTGATTACATGGTGTCTTTTCAGTCTGGTGTCACAGCGGATTTGGACCCCCTGCGGATATGGACCCCCGGTCCATATCCGCTAGCTGATTTGGACGCCCCCGGTCCATATCCGCTAGCGGATACGTACCCCCCCCGCGGATTTGGACCCCCAAAATTCAGATAAAATTATAAGCCGCTCGTTTCAAACATCGTGCTTTTCATGTGCTGAGCTTAATTATAGCATTTTGCGCATGATTAACCCGAAGTTTGAAAATTTAGGCAATAGTAAATATTTACACATAGTCATAAATAATATATATTGATATTTATTACCTAAAACAATATAACAATTTACAATCAGTTTAGTGTGATCTAAGTTCAGTTTAGTGTGATCTAAATTCATTTTTAGGGGGGTCCAAATCCGCTGGGACACCGGCAAACCAGGCCAAATGTATTTTTCAATTACATGCGGCAAGTTGCAGCCCGGGCTGAAAAGTTATAGCGCCTAATTTCTAATTCAATTTACAATTACCGTAAGTTACAGTAAAGAAAAAGCCTCTATACGTCCCTCATTCCCACACTCGTACTTGTCGCAATTTTAAGACCCGTTTACTGTTTACACGATGCCGTTTTCATTTGAAAACGGTATTAAATTATGCCGTTTCGGCCTTGCGTTTACACAATATTGCCAAAAATTGAAACGGAAACGGCACAAAATGAAAACGTAGTCCTTAACGGCGAAGTACGAAAACGGGACACGTGTGCCGTTAATTTTACGACGGATAGATGAGAGGAATAGATTTCATCCGATTTGGATGCTTGTGTGCAGCTCTTTTCATTAATATAATTTTGATAATTTTAACAACATAGCTGTGTAGTGTGTATACAGCCAAGCGGGAAAACTTTCCTGTCCTGGAAGAATGGTAAGATTATGACTGAAGCCCCGTTTACTCTACACTCAATTTATTGGCACGGCACGGCTAAAATGGGTATTTCAATTTTGAAATATAAAAAACTGTTACAAACCAGAAGCCACGGGGCTTAAATTTCTTATTAGTAACATGGATAATAAAATCACTATCCATGCTGGCATGCATGTCTTTTAACTATCCATGTTAGTAATTAATCCACTCCATGTAAAATTACTCTGATCTGGCGGCCTTCGGTGTTCTCTCTCTACTAGCTCTTTTCGGTGTCATGTTTTCTGCGATATTCTGGTTTAAAATCTTATTAATATTGGAAAAGAAATGCCACATGGCAAACAATTATAATTTTGTACCGGCATCGTGCAATTTTTGCGTCGTTTTCAAACATAAACAATACAGTTCATATTCGCATTTAGATGCCTTGCGAACATAAATGTTTCTTCGATCTCGTAATTCAGAAGCACATCGTACTTTAAAAAGTATAGAAGTTCTAGAAAAAGGATACATTCGCTTTGTCTCACACTTTGCCTTTGGAATTCGCGAATTATATTAGATCTTCAATCCTGTGCAAACCAGCCTCGTACCCAGGCGCTTTAAAAATATAACGTTGCATTCAGGTTCTATATAGAGTTCAGCTGAAAAAACGCGAGCGCGCGGGGGTGCTTGGGGAGGTTGTTTTTAAATTTGTTTAAAGTTGTTGGCTAAATTTGCCAAAACCTCCCCAAGCACCCCCACGCGCTCGCGTTTTTTCAGCTGAACTCTATATAAGACCTGAATGCAACGTTATATTTTAAAGCGCCTGGGTACGAGGCTGTGTGCAAACTACGACGTGTCAACGCGCCATAATACGACAACATCATCTTGTTAAACGGCGAAATAGCAGCGATATTATTAAAATAGGACCAGAATCTACATGTATTAAATATATTTTACCCCAATTCAATCTAAACTTAATCGAACAGCATGAAAAGAATGGTTTATTTGTTCCTCTTGGAGGAATTGCCGTATCATGCGAGCGAAATCGAATCGCACATCGGAAAATTAGCCAAAGCTGTGCACCACAACTCTTGGGTGATAAGATTGGGACGTAGATAAATATACGGTCACACACACACACACATCTCAAATACTAGTATACTTCGCGCCATTACAGACTTGCGACGACGAAAAAAAGAAGAAAAAACAACAAAATCGAGGCGAGACTATACGTTTACACTATTCCGGAGCGAAAAAGTGACGGCAGAATATAAAATTAATTCTAATGTCAATTTTTCGCGTAGTGCAGTGTAAACGCAACCTCGTTTTGATACTTTTTTGCACCGTTTTCAGACAAATCCGGTCATCCGGAGTAGTGTAAACGTAGTCTACAGACGACGCGTTGCTAATTTTTTTGACAGCCGTGATCCAACCACACTAAATGCAATTTAAGATATTTACAGGAAAGGAAATATGCACGTTGTTATTACCGTATCCTTCACTGATAGCCGAAAGAAGGATTACCAAATGTCTGACAAGTCTTGATAGGAAAATCGACGTCATGTCTGAATTCGCAAAAAATATAAGCATCGAGTAAATAAATCGAAAAATTATACAACATATTTAGGGTTTTTTGTCATTTTAGAACGGGCCTGATCAGTTATGAAACAACGCAAATAAATCTCATCTGAAGATGAAGTTCCTGTCGTTCCTTCGATTATGCGGCTAAATCTAATAATTTAAAATTTTGATTGAGATACAAGCGCTCCTTCAATATTCAACCTCTCGTATTCACAGTAATTCATGTTCGTCAACAACACCTGTTACTCACAGTAAAGGCTTGTTTACATGGAGCAAGTTATCCCGGCTAGGCGAGGTAAAAACTGCATCTCGCCTACCCGGAATAACTCGCTCCATGTAAACAGGCCCTAATTCATGTTCGTCAACAGTAATTACACTGTTACAAATTCGACTCCAGTGTTTACATTTTCAAACCCCTTCGACAATAGTGCGAAGAGTTCATAAACCCAACGCGATAAGATATTCAACATTGATCGAAGGATTTGATAACTTTTATAAACATTTCTGTCCAGGATTAACCCCGACTGCCTCAAATGCATCTGGTTTATTCAGCCTGTCAAACGAGAGCCTTATATGTTTGTTTATGTCGCATGCGTGTATATCGCTAGCTAAACATGAAATGATTACATTAATAAATGGTTTAACTTACTTTCATTAAGTCTGACAAATTCTCAGGAAGTCATCAATGTTCAATACAGATCAATTTAAGCATTGCTATGTATTTACGTTCGCAACTTTCAATTGTACGAAGCGGGGCGGGGGCAAGTTAAATATTTTCAAGATGGGCGTCATAAGGCTCTCGATCCAATCTTATTAAAAAAACACCACACAAAATACATAATGAGTTCCTAGCCATTACTTTGGGTTACAGTTGATAATGTAAACGGACGCTAAAACATATATTTTATAGTTTATTGCCGTGAGTTCGAATAATTATAACGAAGCTTCTCGCCTTCTTCTAAAAGCAAGATCGTAAACGTTTAACAGGACCAATTTTGTCGCCATGCCGTAGACCTTTTTGGTAATTACGTCACAAGATTTTAACGTCACAACGTTTCAAATTTAGAACCACCTTACATGAAATGGATTTCAAGTTTTACTCTCGCCACGTGCAAAGATGTGAACATCCTTCTTCAACACATGCATGAAAATTTTTTTTATTTTGACCGATCAATGTGGGAATACTGAAGTCATAAGACGATAACGAGGCTGAGGGGCCAAGACCGCTAGCCTCGTTCACGCGTTATGTCGTATTTCCATACTTATTAATCAAAATGAAAAATTATTTTTCATGCATGTGTTGAAGAAGGATGTTTTGCATCTTTGCACTTAGCTTGTGAGAGTAAAACTTGAAATCCATCTCATTTAAGTTGTTTCGAAAAGGTCCATTCACTTCTGATGGATGTTTTATAGTCCGTTAACTTGCAATTTAT